GTAACCACATGTGCGATAATTTTAAGCCAGTGCTCTGTGAGCCTGTGTTAGCGGGTATATTTACTCTAATACAGATGTCAGCCCATGCTGCCTCTGTTGCAGATGGTAGCCTTGTGAACTAGTGAAGACTGCAATTTCCAAATTAGCGTTATTACAGTTGCACACTGAAAAAAATGAATACATTCTTGAACAAAATATAAACAAAGTTATGTTCCTAAAAACTAATTGTTTCGTGAATGCGAGGGCTTTATGAGACCACCGTTATGCCCTTGTGACATAAAATCAATTCGTGATATGCTGTATTTGGTCTACAAAATTGATGTGACTTTAATTTGGCTACATTCCTACTCTAAGAAGGCACCGAGTAAACGGACGCTTCGGTTTCAGAGTTGGTTTAGAAGTTTATGGCCCTTTTCTTTGTTACTGAAAGGTTCAAGGTTGATGTTTCACTTGCCACAGCTCCATGGTTCATAGGTTACGTGATTTTACGCAGATACAAATCACGTGATGTGGGGGGGAGGGTGGAGCTGTTCAGAGATGTGGAGCCCAAAGTATTGGGCTACGTGGCGGTTAGGTAGGAAGTAGCCACATTCAAACTGGATCATTCATATGAAATGGATGGTCCATAAAACAATATTTCCATGATTGAGAAATACATCATTATGTTGTGGTATTAATATAATCATGTATCAAATGGTTTTGTCATTTTGGAGCAATTTGACCTTGAATGTGGTACTAAATTATCCATTTATAACAGCATGGAAAGATTTTCATATAGTCGTGTTATAGAATGTGTTTTTGAAATATCCCAAAGTAATATAACCTCAATCAACAGTTTAGTTTGAATTTGACATGTACACCTCATTGGTGCAACTTCCTTGAAGCATTTTTTTTTACACTTCCATGGCAAAGGCATCTTCATAACCATCAACACTCCCATGTCAGATCTACAGTGAGGTAAACAAGTATTTGATCCCCTGCTGATTTTGTACGTTTGCCCACTGACAAAGAAATGATCAGTCTATCATTTTAATGGTAGGTTTATTTGAACAGTGAGAGACAGAAAAACAACAAAAACATTCAGAAAAACGCATGTCAAAATGTTATTAATTGATTTGGATTTTAATGAGGGAAATAAGTATTTGACCCCTCTGCAAAACATGACTTAGTACTTGGTGGCAAAACCCTTGTTGGCAATCACAGAGGTCAGACGTTTTGTGTAGTTGGCCACCAGGTTTGCACACATCTCAGGAGGGATTTTGTCCCACTCCTCTTTGCAGATCTTCTCCAAGTCATTAAGGTTTCGAGGCTGCCGTTTGGCAACTCGAACCTTCAGCTCCCTCCACAGATTTTATATGAGATTAAGGTCTGGAGACTGGCTAGGCTACTCCAGGACCGTAATGTGCTTCTTCTTGAGCCACTCCTTTGTTGCCTTGGCCGTGTGTTTTGGGTCATTGTCATGCTGGAATACCCATCCACGACCCATTTTCAATGCCCTGGCTGAGGGAAAGAGGTTCTCACCCAAGATTTGACGGTACATGGCCCCGTCCATCGTCCCTTTGATGCGGTGAAGTCGTCTTGTCCCCTTAGCAGAAAAACACCCCCAAAGCATAATGTTTCCACCTCCATGTTTGACAGTGGGGATGGTGTTCTTGGGGTCATAGGCAGCATTCCTCCTCCTTCAAACACGGCGAGTTGAGTTGATGCCAAAGAGCTCCATTTTGGTCTCATCTGACCACAACACTTTCACCCACTTGTCCTCTGAATCATTCAGATGTTCATTGGCAAACTTCAGACGGGCATGTATATGTGCTTTCTTGAGCAGGGGGACCTTGCGGGCGCTGCAGGATTTCAGTCCTTCACAGCGTAGTGTGTTACCAATTGTTTTCTTGGTGACTATGGTCGCAGCTGCCTTGAGATCATTGACAAGATCCTCCCGTGTAGTTATGGGCTGATTCCTCACCGTTCTCATGATCATTGCAACTCCACGAGGTGGGAGCTTGCATGGAGCCCCAGACCGAGGGAGATTGACAGTTCTTTTGTGTTTCTTCCATTTGCGAATAATCGCACCAATTGTTGTCACCTTCTCACCAAGCTGCTTGGCAATGGTCTTGTAGCCCATTCCAGCCTTGTGTAGGTCTTCAATCTTTTCCCTGACATCCTTGGAGAGCTCTTTGGTCTTGGCCATGGTGGAGAGTTTGGAATCTGATTTATTGCGTCTGTGGACAGGTGCCTTTTATACAGGTAACAAGCTGAGATTAGGAGCACTACCTTTAAGAGTGTGCTCCTAATCTCAGCTCGTTACCTGTATAAAAGACACCTGGGAGCCAGAAATCTTTCTGATTGAGGGGGTCAAATACTTATTTCCCTCATTAAAAAGCAAATCAATTTATAACATTTTTGACATGCGTTTTTCTGGATTTTGTTGTTACTCTGTCTCTCACTGTTAAAATAAACCTACCATGAAAATTATAGACTGATAATTTATTTGTCAGTGGGCAAACGTACAAATTCAGCAGGGGATCAAATACTTTTTTTCCTCACTGTATGGAATTGAGTGGCTGATTTCTTCAGTGGCAGATGTATTAATTTCCTCTACCATTGCTTTATTTTCCAGCATAATGTGAAGTGGGCAGACTAGCAATCATTCATAATATAGGTTTTTTGGGGGTTAGATCGCGTAAATATAAATGTGTTGTTAAACCCGCCAACTGACACAGCCAATTAGTAAGGTTTGTCATGTAAACAAAACATGATCATCACTTGAGTTCAGCACACCGGTGTGTTGGAGAATAATCCCACAATGTCGATGGTGGGTTTAATGACGCATTTATATCTCCGTGATCTAACCAAGATACCTCATGGATAAATCAGCCGTGAAAGCCTACGTGTTAAACAGACTAGTTGTTGTTTTTTTTTAATTATTGGTTCAAGTCTAAATTACCTTTTTAAAATGTGGCTATAATTTGCGTTTGACAATAGTCATCAATTTACACGGCTCTGCCTGCGCATTTTAAAACTTGCATTCAAAACATATCCATTCCAGTTCGGTTTTAAGGGACCATTTTATTTGTTCCATCGCTCAATCATGCAAAAAATATCAAGTGGGAACCCCCCCCCCCCTCATTATGCACACATTTCCTATACTGTACTTTATTTTTATAAATACTTTTTTAATATAACATTTGATGTTTTAAGTTATATTGTGCTTTTTTTGTACTTCATGTTTATAAATTAAATGTTTTGCTGTAGTTATTGTACACATGCGTGCATATCACCCCCCCACCCCCCCCCCAGCTGCGATTGTGAGGAGCCGAGTCGTCGTTTCTCTGGGAAAATGAATTCTTAAAAGCTGTCGGGCAAATTTAAAACGAGACTACATCGCTCTGCGTGTTCCTACACAACGTCGGCTCAAATTCAACCTCCCATTCATTGTTGTAAATCAAATCAAAGTTGCTGTTAAGCTGGAGCATGAACAATTTAGTGTGCAATAACTTATTTTTAATATTACATATTATATCTCTCCATACGGTGTATGGAGTGTCGGCTAAGTTTTCCAAAATGAGAAACCACTGATATTTTTACCCAACCTTTTTTCCCCTGTATTGTTGGGTTTATTCCATTGTTTTTGCCCTTTGTGTTTCAGTATTTCCCCGCTAGGCAAAAAGACGTAGCAGTGTTTTGATTATGGTTTTGTAATTACCGTACCGTACAAACTGTTTCTTAACCCAGCTTTCCCCGTCACGAATCTCACAGCCCTGTTGCGGCGTAAGACATGGTGCTTTGACATTAATTAAAAGCCAGCACCTGCCTTTTTGGAATTTTAGTTCATGGGCCTTGAGAGTGAAATTTAAAAAAACACTTTTACGTAAGCTTGCACTGCAAAACTTAAATGTTGTCTATTTTTTTTAAAGCAATGCTTTAACATATCTTGTATTACTGTTAAGTGCCTAAGGTTTGTTGTTGCATATGGGCATCCTGTTATTGCATGTTGTTGGGGTTTTCTTCCCTGTCTGAAGTACACTTACCATTATTTTTGGCAACGTGTAGTTTTGTGGGTCAAGGCCTGATTAACCGATATCAAAATATTCGGACTTTGAATTGAGACTTCAAGTTCAAGTGAGCTTTAATTGCCCAACAATTACATTAATTAAAAACGAATAGTTAATCATTCACAGCCATTTGTAGTATCAGCTATGGAGATTAGGCCGTGTGCTCTCTGGGAGCGGGGAAAGAAAAAAGATAATTGTGGAATGGCACAGACATTGGGGGTTGTGAAAGTTTTACCTGTAAAATATCCTCGTGACATTTAACACCGCTATCGTTGTGATTACCATATAATGTATATGCGCACACTTCTGGCCGCTATGAAACACGAACCCGAAAAGTAATTACGATCGTCTCGTCCAACATGTACGCGAGTAGTGATGGTTGTCAATGTGTTGCGTGGTTCCAGACTGTTTGCCGATCCGCCTGTTATGCCAGTGGTTACAGATGTGCGCGTGAAGCTCCCCCCCCCAAAAAAAAAACCCTCGCCTGAATGTAAGCCTTCATTTTCAGCAGGCATATAACCCTGTTTGTAATTAAACATTTGCCGATGAATTAAATGCAGGATCGCGAGCGCGGTGGGTGCTTTAACAGCCGTTGGGTGAAAGGAGGCTTGGGTTGTGTGGCGACTTTTGTGTTTGCAGCAGCAGCAGCAGAAAAAAACTGGCACGTGCGGAGCTAGAACAATTCGCCGCCGATTGTCAAGGTTGAGCAAAAAGGGTGGACGCGCGTAAACTTGCAGCACTGCTATGCGTTTCATAGCAAAAACTTGTACAGGTTAGACAGGTAAAGCAATATAAAAAAAATAAACGTGTTTTTAAATATTGCCTATATTGTCGACTCCTGTTGGTGACGCGTGTTGTGACGATTTACGCAGTTATTATTTAGGTTGCTTTTCCATCTAGCAAGGCCACGCGTGAAGTGTTGCGCTTTAAAAAAAACAGCAGCAATTAATTATTCTAGTAATCTTTATTGGTACATTCACATCTTGCACCTTTGTAACACCCACACAATGATATATTACTATACACAAAGTAATGTTATATTCCAACATGTGCTGTATTTAACCCAGATGTTGATGAATACTGTACTGGATTACATCTATTTAGTCGAGGGACCCACACAACTGCATTAACCAGGAACACTCATGAACCAGTCTGTTTAGAAAACAATCACTAATGCATTACATAAACTATTTTCTCGTGAATCAGCTAGGAAAAGGATTTATGTAAATATTCTCATTGACAGGCTGCTGTGAAAACCAGATATGGAATATTGAATGGCACAAACCTGGATTTTGTCTTATGAACCAACCTACATTCCACGTGGTTTCCACAGTGGCCTCATGCATCAGGTATTATCTGTGTCGTGTGAACATCTCTGAACTGTTTAGCAGTGACAAAGCATCAAGAGAAACAGAACTCTAACATGAACATACCTAATAAGAGGCCCAATCACAAAATATAGCAGTCTACTGGAATTTGCAATGTTACTAATTTATATACCTCCTGTCATTTATACAGTTAAGCAGGATATCAACAAGACTGCACGCAAACGTGTTTTTTTAGCTGAAATAACATTTTAAATGTATTAACTGAAGTCCACAGTTCTTAAGCCAATTTTCTTGAGTCCAAAACTTGACAATTCCCTAAAATGCGATGGAAATACTTACCCGTAACAACTGACAACAAACACCTTCACCATTGAATTTACAGTACTTTGTGGTGAAGAGGTCTTTCTAGTGCTACCTATGGTATATCTCAGCTTGCGTTTCACATCAGGCTCACGATGGTAGGATAGATGAAGAGACCTCTTTCAAACATTAAATTGAAAAGAACACAAAGCGAAAATAAGTTGTTGCAAGACACCCAAGAAGTCTAGTGGGTGTTCGGTTACATGGAAACCCCTTTGACAAGTGTAATATCAATTGTGAGAACTCATTGTGACATATTTCGGCTGAGGAAACGGGCTCTGTGGGGAAACCTCAGAAGAGCACAAGCTGCGGAGTGATTTATTCGCGATGAGTAACTGCTGATGGAAAACATTTTAAAATCAGATACAACTCACTCAACACCCGAATTGCCTTCCAACATATAATACACAGCGTATATATACAAAGTACTTTCAAGCTAAGGAGTAAGATAAGACCTATATATTTAATATATATATTTTTAAATTTTCATTTACAACATAAATAAACTGGTGTAAAATATTAATTTACCTTAGCTTAATTTAGGAGCATTATTTCAATGCTAGGAAAATTATTTTTTTGGTTCAACACTATAGTGGATGGTGTTTAATTTTGTTCAGCTGGCATCAAATATACCTTTGCAGTCAAAATTAGAATTTAAAAATTGGAAAATTAGGATTAAAACATCTGCGACATTTAGCATTTCAAATAGGTTTTTTCAGCAGTTACATTCACAACCGAGTCATAGCCATTTACTTTAAATAGACCCCTTGACACGGCTTTACTGCATAAGGAAATATAAAATCTGGCAAAGAGTTAAACAGAACACGGTGAATGGGGCAAATAAGCAAACGAAGAAAGTAGCAAGGTTTATACAAAAATCAAAGAGGAACGGTTGAGACATAATCTGAAAATGTATTCTCATGTGTAGTATCACCAGCAAAACTTTTATCTGAAAATATATTCGTGTCTGTAACGTCCAAAGAATGGAACAACACTTACATATGCCTCAAATAACATTGATTTGTGAAGATAATTTGTAATGATTTGGTTGCACTCTAAAGTTGAAAGGTAAACGCCTCTACCAAATATTGTGTGTGGCCATAATGTCGTTATATCCCGTTTTGGTAACATCTTGCACCCTAAACCAAGGAAGGATACATTAATTGCACAGTAAAATTATATATATATAACTATATCAGACAATACAGTAAAACAGTGATTAAAGTAATACGATTACAATAAATTTAAGAAAAATCTATAATACAGTGCCATGTTATTCACATTGTGCATACCCCTCAATAAAAAATAACAATCTGTATAAAGTAAGAAAAAAAACCACTACATCAGATTTAGCAGTTATGGGCATTAATGTTGGTTGGCCCCACTGCTTTAACTTCTGAACACTTAACACAGTAAATACCTGCATGCCATGCACCAATATAACGAACTAGGCAAACTGGTTTTCAATTGTGAATGCAGGAGACAATCAGGATAACACTGCCAACCATCCACCAATTATCGTGTGAAAAGGAGCAAATTAGTGGCATGCGAGAACACGGACTATCTCGTTAACTTCGCTGGAGAACTTCCTTGCCTCACGACACCCCTCCACGACGAAGCAATCTACACCTGCAGTTACAATTCCTTACACTGACGAATACAGACACAATCAGCTTATTAGCGCAAGGGTCAGAGGGCTGGAGCTTTACTTCCAAGAGACCCTGTTCCCAGGAGTAAAAGCTGTCTTTTCAAACTCGGTGTCACGTGACGTGAACATGTTTTAAGTTGGAAGAATTTTGAAGAGGGGCAGCTATACCAAACCACGTATCATTTCACCACTCCGATGACGTCATCTCTCACCACCACATGACCACACAATGCTTTCTCAGAGAACATAACATGTTCTTTGTTTTTGTAAAGACGTCGGCCTTACAGAGAATTCATTTAATAGAATGAGAAGTTACTGTAAACACTTCATTTGAGAAGTGCAAGCCATATGTTTGATATCTTGCTGTACCGTGCATGTGAGTGTACACATTACAATTACAGGCTACTTCTAGGATAATGCTTTTTTTGGGGGGAAATTTGTTACCGTGTACACAGCAGGGTACTAAAAGTTTGCAGTGAGGGGGGAAAATAGTTTTAAATCCACGGGCAATATACTCTGTACTCAAATTGCAAAGCCCTGATGACTAATTGGAAGTGTCAATGATTATCATCACAATGCTACAGATATAAGTCTAATTATACCTCCTTAGAGACTGCTTCAGTACGGTCCAAATCAACTGTACATGCTTAAATTACGCACGCATAAGCCTTCGAATGCACGCTACATGCAGCATTTTGCAATTTGGCTCTGGCATCGATTGTTTTATAATTTCCGCCAGAGATTAAATTTTAGAATTATTATTTCGCACAGTACTGCGCCATTCTCAATCAGGGCGCATTAAATTATTAGGACGTTCACGCGTGGTAATGTATCAAAAGGGGCCACAATGAGCACCAACGTCAGTCTACATTTTCTAAAATTCAAAACATAACGTAATTACCTCGACTGGAATTACAAACGTAGCAATCACCTATCCCCAACTGGCAGATTGATGCTCGAGTTACATTGCATTATCGCACAGGGAACAAGCTGCTATGGGGGGGGGCGGCAAAGATATACAACTGCACTTCCCAGACATTTTGCACATATTGAGTTAAAAATAACCACAAGCGCTGTATTACCATTCTTATATGGGGGGGGAGGGGTGGGGTTTGCTCGTAAAATTGGACAGCGTGTTAAATATTGATACTTTATATTAATCAGCCATCCTCAACTACCTGTGACCAGTAACCAAGATGCCATCTTTGTACGCAAGCCTTAACCCCCCCCCGCCCAAACGCCTTTGCTTTCCAAAATGCTTTTTGCCTTTTTTCCAGTTGAAAAAACAGTGCGCACGTCAATGACAAAATCATTGTTGCACATTACGTTAAACATTTTAACTCTATACTTCCGAGAGTAAGGGAATGTTTCCAATAAATGTTTATGAGCTTGAGTGAAGGATACTGCTGCAAATAGGCTCCACTGTAACCATTGCTCCATCGGAATTGGCCAAAACCAGAGAAGCACAGAACGATAATGCAAGATGAGTGCTGCACTTTGCGATTGCACTACTGGCATCGGCTGACCAATGATGACATCCCCAAGCTATAAAACGCTGGTTGAACAAGCTGGTACGGTAAGTTACTGTGGTTACTGTGGTCACTGTGGAACCCCTGCGAATCTGACAGCGAAGGAAAATCCCCACTTAAATTTCACAACGCGAGAACAACTTAAAAGTACAGAGCAAATACATCACGCTTTGTCGCACTGCCAAGAAAACGATGAAGTAATTCCCGAGCATGACTTTTGATCTTAATAAATACAGGCGGCCTGCGATGTCCCTTTAAATATTAGCGTGTGCGTAGGATCCTGGTGCGTTGGTAGGCCACCTAGGAGGGCTTGGGTTGGATGATGCCCACGAAGTCGTCTTCCTTCTGGATGAGTCCCTTTCCCATCAGACTGTCACGGAGCGCTTGAAAAATCTGAATCTGCTGGTCTGGCCTAAGCACCAGCAGCTGCTGCAGAAGTTTGGCTGGATTTGGCCCTCTGTCAAAGACACAATTGATGGATGCAGGTTAAATATTACCATGGATATAAGCAACTAAAACAGAGGAGATAGTTTAGGTATGTGGGCCATATTTTTCGTGAAGACAGATAATGCTTGAAGGATATCAAAGTTACAATTCCCCTTGAAAAAGCCGCTTTCAGCAAGTGAAAAGTGCTGCCGATAAAATGGCCGAGTAGGTAACTGAAAGAGAGTAAAGACGCTACTCTAAAGCCTGGTGTTATATTTGGCAGCGATACGAATGCTGATAAAGGAATAAGTTACAAAGCTGGGAAGTTATGAGATATAGGTTTGACGTTAAATTGGAGAAATCAGTTGGACAGAAAGAGCAGCAGGCTCAGCGAAGTCAAATTGGAGCAATTTAGAGATGACAAAAGATCTGGATTGGGCAAATTGTCAGAAAGGAAAGACTCGCTGATTGAAACTCAAAATGGAAGATGGGAGGGGTGGGGGGCAAGACCAAGAAAAAGGAAGATAGGGGGGCTATATGCAAAAATGTAGAGGAGAGTGCAGAATTGAACACAATGGAGGTAACTTGACCTAAGAAGCTGCCTTTAGACAGAAAATTCAATAAGAAGACAGACAACAAGAGTCAGACGTGGTAACAGGGTAGTGTTATAATACAGTTGTCAAATTTCACTCAAAACACATTTGATTTGAAGCGATTTTTTAAAACGTAAGATACTATCCATCGTTATGTAAACATGTGTTTACACTGTAGCCTTCAATGCATTTCCTGTACCATCCTACGAAAAAACCATGTGCATATTTGTGTAGTCGACTGGCAGGAGAAAACAGAGTGAATTTACCTCCCCCACTTTTATCTTCTTTATATACCCCACGTAAAACCAAGGAATCACATTCCTACATTGTGCAAATAAACGGATTGTGTATATCAAGTGGACCACTGGGCCGAAGGTGGGTTTGCAAGGACTCAAGATAAAATACTGACTCAGAGATGACATCATCTCTTATGTTCAAGCTTTTAACGGAAATCTAATCAGTAAAAAACCTTACGCTCATTAAAATAAGTATTAGGGTTTAATTTCGTGAAATAGAAAATAACTGCGTTTAAATTCCTTACTTTATGAAGCTGGCCATGTACACATGCACAAACGTGGCCATGAGATATTGACAGTCGAATCGATCCATGATCCCTCCGTGGCCAGGAATGGTGTCAGCAAAATCCTGTGACAGAAGTGGTGAAGCATGGCACAACAACATTAATGTGTATTGCAAGGGTGCAAACACACATCAGAGTAATTTACTGTCTGGGTTCATCATCAGCCATGATCTATCCACAGCTGGATGAAGCTCTCCCCAGTTTGCTCCCATTCCTCAAGGTTACATAATACAGGAATTTACCTCCTGCACACGAGCCAATCCTAAAATGTTTTCAGTAGCTTTGAGTTGAGCACAATTTTTTAACTCTGCACACAATTATGCTTAACTATCAAATAAATTAAAGTTTTGTTGAATGTACATGCAGTACATACCACATTTACCTGACTGCCAGGCTACATGCAGGACAGCAGAGAGCAGAGGAACAAAACCAATTGTTTTACTGTTCTTAAACTATTCAAAACTATTAAAATTTAACCATTTCATATTTCACCAGGGAAGGCCCACTGAGCTAAACAAGTTCTTTTTCAAAAGAGACCTGGCCACAAATAATCGCTGAACCAAGTGCTGCCTTATTGCGTGGAAATTTATAGCAGCCAAATACTCTACAGTCTAAACGCATGTTTCCAAATGTGGAGGTAAAAACTGGAGAAACCGGATAAAAATCCACGCAACCACGGGGAGAACATGCAAACTCCAAATATACAGGCGTCAGGGTAAGAATCGAACCCACTTTCTCCTGCATACCAGGCGAGGGAGTTAACATCTCGCTACAGTGGCACCCATCTCTAAGCTCCCAACCTTCTCCAACCCACACAAACCAGCATGGTGAAATGTGGTCATATAACCCCCACCACCGGCATGGCATGGACATGACCTCCGCCAGCAGTGGACTGAAAAAGGCCTGTCCATGTACATTAGCTATGATGACAAATTCAATATACCAATGCTAGTGTGAGCACATTTAGCAAATTCATACCAATCAATGAGGCAAGGAGATCACTTAATGCATAATTGAGACCATGCTAAAGTAAACACACCTTAATTTTAAAGGCACGCTTGAATCCACTCGCAAAGAACCCTCCAAAGGGTCCCATGAGCGAAGCGAAGGTTGACAGAGCAATGCTGTGAATCTGGAACGGGTACAGCCGAACTGTTTTCTGCACACACACACACAGAAACGTTCCCCATTTAGCCTTGCAGACTCTTGGGACAAGGGCTGTGAGAGAGCACGTACCAAGGCAAGCACAACACAAGAGGGGGTGGGGTGTGGCCAGCAGCATGCCTGGCTGCTTTAGTTTCTCCAGTGCAAAATATATACACACTGCCCCAGGTACTCATTTAAGGCAGAGTCGACTTACAGAAAGGCCCATGACAAGTTCTGATAACATTTGAAAATGGTGTTAGCCGTGGCACATTTTGGCTAAGGCTAACCACTGTGCCACTGCAATCCCTACACAAAGACACATACATACACACACAGGATATGTGTGTCTTTGTGTCTTGAGACCACTACTCAATGCAGAGCCACATTGCTGTTGTGCAAGCACTGGTTACCGTGACAAGCCCACCTATTTAGTGAGGTTACATGACTAGCAAGAAATAGCAAGAAATAGCAAGAAATAGAAAATTACGCAACCCTCATCAATGCTGTCAGCACCACAGAGCATGTGTGGCTATTTCTTGACTTAAAGCTTTCGTGACTGCAGGAATTCTAATTCTTTGGGTCTTTTGGTAAAGTCACGTAGGTAGGTTAAATAGTAAAGTGGAAACCCTCCCCATAGAGGCGGTTAAATCTTGACTTAAAGCTTTCGTTTGGTCAATCTAGCTACGTGACTTTACCGAAAGGCCCAAAGAATATGTGGCTATTGCTCATTGCATGGTGGAATGCAAGTACAGAAAATGCAGTGCAACCTGTTCATATGCTGCCTTGAACTATCAGCCGTCTGTCTATAACAGCACATACTCTCAAGCCATTAATGCTATGCTCACCAGCTCTGGTTAAAGGAGGAGTCTTTGATTGCCTCTTGGCTATTCCCACCAAAGCATCACTCACAGCTTGGCCGTGGTGCTGCTATAATCAATTCTAAGATGAGAAACACTTTCTATAAATTAAGAGAAACCCTGGTGGCTACACAGTAGTTGGCTGCTCGTTCATGATTTGCTGGAAATTATCTGTGAAAATCCACAGTTTAATTCCTCCTTAAGCGACTAGAAGTTTCAATGGGGATCTCTGGCATAACTTTGTGGTTCCACTCTTACTTAAAGGGGCGTAGGGTACTTTCGTCACAAAGGTTGGCTTCAAGTCAACAATTAGACCGGTTCTCTGGAGTGTTCCGCAGTGATCTGTGCTTGGCCCATCACTTTTTAGCATCTACATGGCACCATTGGGTATTATACTCCAATATCTTGGCTCATCCTACCATTGCTATGCAGATGATACTCAAATTTATATCCGGTTAGGACCAGACTATTCAACAGCATCTTCCGAAGCCATATTCATCGGCTCCCCTCTTCATCTTTCTAAAATTGCTTCGCCTCGTTTGTTGATGGTCACAATGTCAGTCCCACACGGGAGGTCAGAAACCTCGGTGTTCAGTTTGACCAGTCATTATCCTTTGAGGCACATATATCTAAGGTGGTTAAAATGTCCTTTTTCCAGCAAAGAAATATTGCCAGAAAGCATCGCTACGTGTCACCTGCTGACTTGGAGAGACTGGTCCCATGCTTTTGTGTTATTCCGATTCGACTACTGCAACGCCTCACTGGTTGGGATTCCGAGCAAAGTACTGGGGGAGACTCCAGCTTGTTCAGAATGCAGCTGCGAGTGCTTACACCACCGTCCACCATTCCGTGAGCACATTGGACCAGTCCCCTTTATCTCTTCATTGGCTACTGGTCAAATTCCGAGTGGCTTTTGAGATACTCAGAACTCCCAGGTCTAGGTTGTGCTGTTTTTGGTCATCGGGCTTTTGTTTGCGTGGCACCCAAGCTATGGAATGCCTTGCCACTTGAAATCAGAGTCAGTAGATATATTTAAGTCTACTTTGACAACCCATCTCGAAAAAGTGTCCCTCTTTAGTTTGGTCGATTGCCCTGGTTCTGTTTTTGTTACCTGCCTTTCACACATTGCGCTTTGGGATCATAGGAAGGAAATGTGCATTATACATTTTAATTATTATTAAATACAAAATTTGTCCCTCGTGTTTTCCAAATTTTCTTCATTTTACAAAACCATTCTTAACTTTAAACTTTTAAAATGAAGAATGAGAAGTGTTTAGAATTGTCTGAAACCTCATGAATGTAGTGACAATTTTATGTTGTTTATCTTGATGAAAGGCCATCAATACAATAGGTCCCTGGAACCTTATGATCAGAATAAACTCTTACAGAACTCTGTACAACAAAAACTACTCAAAATGCTGTGATTGTACGACTCACAGTTGAACAATGCTAGTTTCTCAAAACATAGCCAATGTATGCACTACAAGCTGAATAGGACTAAAAATATAACCACAAATGACAAGATCATTTTGTTTCACTTAAAGAAAAACTGGAATCCCACAATCTGAGAAACCCTGCAAGTCGTGAAATCTAAAACCTAGCAGGAAATAACATGTTTAACTGCACTGACATTTTAACATGTACATGGAAAAAGCGACAACTCAGCAAAACCAGTGTCATGTGCTAAAAACTCACCCAGCCAATGACGGACTGCACCACAGCGGGTACGGAGTACTCGTGCAAGTGAAACAGCTCTGAGGGATGGCAGTCCACGGTGAATCGGCTGGTCTCGCTGTTGTATGCCACGGGGCACACAAAGTACGGGATGCCAGCCATCAGGTACGACAGCTGTGTGAAGACAGGTAAGGAGGAGGAAGATGAGGAAACACACAACAGCATTAAGTAGTGCTCAGCATAGAGAGGGAGGTGTGTGTCTATGCGAGCGGTTGTATGCCATACAAATGTTGGAATGTGTAATGCTGCAGATTAATAGTGATGCTAATGCTCAAGATTATGGGTGTAACAATTCACTACTCTACCCCCCATCCTGCAAACCTACCTGGCAATTTGATTAATTGTAAATCAGTCTCAATTTTATTACAATACTCTTTTTGTCTCAATCGTTTATCATTTTACTACCTCGTTACTATAATTTGTTTTACTTCATTAGCCTGAGTATGACTATCGTACGTCATATGCATATGTGCAACATCATAATTGAATTACTGCACACATTCAATGCGAGTAATGTGACCATTAAGAAATTAGATTGATGTATGCATCCTCAGGCTCATAATCCAATGTGCATCGAAAGCTACATTTTTTTGGAATGTATAGGTCGTATAATAATTGGTTCACATTACCCCTGTAGTGTATTGCTGCTACATTTACTGTAATGTTAACATGATCATCCTTCAGAATTGTGACCCTGACACAAGACAATTCATCAAAATCCAATTTATGGTATTACCAACATGATCGAAAGCATGACTGTGTTTAAAGTACATATATTTCATTACAACATAGTATAGTTTTTTAAACCTGTAATTTTATTTTATTTCTGACACTGCTCTAAGGCATGCTGGTTGGGACCCAAAACAGAGTTTACTGCTATATGGACAACAGATTATTTCTCTTTATAAATCCAAGGAAGGCCGCAACATTAAAAAAACATCCGATTGTTCTTCTCCCTTGTTGTTGATGCAAGTGTTTGTCATATTAAAGATACGGACACAACCGTTTAAATCAATTTTATTAGCTCACTGTCTGCTACGGCAAAAATAAATAAGAATTCCTGTTTACCATGGTGCAATTATGCAACCTGTGGCTAGAGTGAAGATAAAAACCAAACCTTGAACTCTGAACACAACAACCATAACTTTTAACGTCTTCGACGAGGACTATGGCATTCACTCAACTGAGCAAACATTTAAGCAAATCCAAGCAGTAGGCAGGACATTTATGTGGCTTTTTAAACTAAATTTAGTGCAACGGATGCATTTTTATATGACTGTGGCCTCTAAAAAGCAGGGCTGAAGTAACAAACGTAGCACAAAAATTATGCAAATATCACCTACGCATGACATCCATGAGTAGTGGAAAAAAAACCTGACAATGTATACACATTATTCTTACAAGCGGCTAAGAGCGTTAAAGAAATATAAATATTGGAGTAATACGACGTTCGAAAGACCACCTTGAGTACGCACTGAAAGGGTAAACCGACATGACGCATTCATTAATCAGGCCACGCGGGAGAAAGTGAATGTCATTGTGGGTGCGCCGTTATGCGCCGTGTTGTGATGACACACCAGCCGACGAAGGCATGCAGTGCAAGATGTAACCGCAAGGCGAGTGCCGGGACGTATGTGCAAATGTACGACTGCACCGCTGCTTCTCGAGGTTCTCTGTAGGACAAAGGCAACTTACGATGAGGCCGAACACGACCGTGGCAAAGAAGCCTCCGATAAATCCCTCCCAGGTTTTCTTAGGAGACAGCTGTTTGGGACAAACAATGCAAATGTGGCAGATTAATAAGTTTTAGAAGAATTAATGAACTGACAATTACTGTAGTAGGCATGTTTAAAAATAAATGTCTGGGAAAATATACGTATAAGCTAAACTATTTTTTTTTTCTACCAGGCGAGGCCCACTGAGCTATGTAGCTCTTTTTCGAAAGCGACCTGGCCACAAATTATAGCCCAAGTGGCTTATGTGGAAAATGATAGCAGCCAAATACTCAAAACGCATGTTTCTAAATGTGGGCATATGCACCTAAAATAATCTTTAATACATAAGGCAAAGGTTTAATTTGCACTGTTTTTATATCCAAAAGCCTCAAAATTAATGTTACTGTCACAACAAACCTTTTTTATCTTATTCTTAGCTCTTTCGGTAAAGTCACGTTGAAGAGAAACAATAAAATAATAAAATATATATAAAACAATAAAAATTCTCACGACGTTTCGACCATAACACAAACGGTCATCATCAATGAAAGCGCAGTTGTCAGGCATATTGGATTACCTGCTAGGATGTACAACCGCTTACATATCTTGTCTGGCACAACGAGCCATAAGCACCGCGCTACATGGAGCGACTAATGACCCTAAGGTTTGTATGAAAGCTGTTGTTCCCATGACATGTTTGTCATACCTTGATGAGCGGGGTTCGTCCGAAAAAGAACCCAAACATGTAAGCCATGATGTCATTACAAATCACCATGGAGATGGGAACAATGAACCTGCAGGGAGAAACATATCTCAGTCGCTGCTAAGCACTGCCGAGGCAGCGCCAGGCGATTGTTGCAGCAGCGAGATTAGTTGAGCAATTTATGGGCAGCAACGCAGATGCAGTTTATAATACACATTTACACATGTGCAGCCCATTTGTCAATCCACCGATGAATGAGGATTTCCCCACACCATGCGGGTGGTGCGGTTATTTTCTCGTACTCATCAGTGCGTGTTAGTGTACGTGCATAAATGTGCAAACACCACATGTACGGTATAACAATGGAGTTGCTGTGCCGCCCTCTGCTACCCATCGTGTAACACCGCAGCCTATGACAATCTGTTTGTGCACGATGGTTGACCATCTGAGCACTATAAAGGTGCAACCTCGCTTAGCTCCCGAGGCCTGATGGGATCGGGTGCATTCCGGGTGATCTGATCATAGGCTAAGCAGTTAAGAATGTCCAATAAAAAAATGGCAGAGCACACAAACATGCGTAGATTTTGGTAAAATAAACATGCAGTAAATGATATCGGCAAAGTAGATTTGCATTGATATGTGTGACACTTATCCAAAGCAAACTGCTTTAAAGAAAACCATGGGACATTGAGCTCCATCAATAATAAATACGATTCAAACAAGCAGTAGTAACTCATTTAGAAATGATGCGTTGCAATTATTTTGATTCCCAGCCACGGCTAACATCATTAGTGAAAAAAGTGAATAACATGTTAACAGGTCCTGGCCAACTACCCCTTCACCATACCACTGACAAGCATCGTGAAATATAATTTAAAAAATCCTCGCGACTGAGACGGTTTGGGGAAGATCCTCATCCAGCGTTGAACTGACAAATGGCAGTATATACATTAATTATAAAGTGTAGATTAGAAAATGTTCCTTTTATTATCACCCATGTATAGATTACCATACACTGTGGACAAAACATGCATTCCATCCACCACAATTGTTTGTGTTTACTAATTCCATTGTTTACAAAGGAAATGAAAGTGATCGATATAGTTACACGTGCATACACAGGTACATAATTCATCCATGATTTACATTTTTACAGATAAACTATAAAAGAGCCATTTCTATTTCATCAAAGGCAATAGTTCAGTCTCGCATGGGTGGTAAACAGGCAAACACAGTTCTTAATATCCACTAACATATTACGTGTGCAGCCGGGTTACAGGAAATGTTCACAAAATTATACTGATATCTTACGTGACCCAAAACTCAAAGGAAAATGTAAGCCTCAAAAGTGCAGGCCAGCTCCTGAGCTCTGCACAGCCCAGGCTACACGAGTTGAACAAAATCTTACCAGATCATGCCCTCAAAGAGGTTCTGGATCACAAGGTGAGACTGTGTCACCACAATCAGCAAGGTCACATGGGTCCATCCGAACTGCAGTAGGAAAGCACAGAAGAGGTCGGGGTTTCTTTGGTCACTTTCTCACAGCTTTATCCAAAGTATGATATCAGTGTCACATCATAAGATGGAGTTTCCTCTTGGATCTCACACAGATTGGTCAACAGAAGCAGATATCAGAGATACCTCAGCAATCCCCACAAAGAGTAAGGTTTAAATGAAGCCCTGCTTAAAAAGGGTTATGCTGTGACTTATAGAATGCAGGTTCTGGTTGGTCCAACAAGCTTTCAAATAACAAATAAGACCTCTGAAGATTTTTTTATTAAGTAAAATGTCATGAAAAGTCCCATTCTAACAGGCCACTGCAAGTACTACTGCAATTAATGTCATTAGATGTATTTTACGGCTACTAGAAGGTAAAATTTAAACTTGACATTTCCCTAATTAACACTTATATTACCACACTCCATCCCCCCCCCCCCTTTCATATATCTCTCATGTTTATTAAAAGAGAACGGCCAACCCCGTTACATTCCAACTATAGGCTTTGGAATTAAGGATGCGCACGACTTGTAAATTTGGGCAGTATGTTTATTGTTGGAAACTGTAGCAAGCATGAGAAAACGTGAATTCAGATTTTTTTTTTACCATTTCAATCACAGTTCCGACACTAAAATCCCTGTTCCTGAGATACTGTACCTCCCTAAGGGCCTAACCTGTCATATAAGATGGAAATAACTAAGTATTGACTCAGAGCTGTGACTAATCATGGATAATAATACTTTGAGGAGTGTTTATAATGAATCCCTTATTTTACATTTCATTTTACTCCAAACTGAATTTTCACAGCTTAGCAATAATACATTGATTACACGTAAGATGATGAAGCATCTTCAACCACTTGCTACTCGAAATCGAAGTTTCTTCGGTTGTAAAATATTTAAAATCAACTGCTGTCATATGTGTATAAATATACAGGATTCTGATGGAGTGCCATAATTACCATGTAAAATTGAAGACGATATTGCTTCTTCACCAGACTCAACACAAACATGCAAAATCCTGTGGGACATTGAAAAAGTTGATTACAAAACACAAACAGCAACTACAATTACAAACTAATACCACACACACCTTTCTCGTCTGTATTGTTTTGCCATTTAAAAGCGTAACCCCCGAATAACTTTATATTAGCTTATATTTAAACAACTGGTCTACAGTTCCACAATGATCCCTGAGGCAGTGGGTGGGTGGATAAGTGGGTGGGTGGATAAGTGGCAAAGTGGGTGGCGAAGTGGGTGGCGAAGTGGGTGGGTGGCGAAGTGGGTGGGTGGCACATACCAGTCAAGTACAGTGTGAAGGAAATGAAGCGGTGGTAGCGAAACAAGAGTCTCAAGGGCTCCTCGCGTTGAACCAGGGAGAAGAAGTAATCGGCCACAGTTTCTCCGTAGAAAAAGTAATTCACACAAAGCAGGAAGTACCTGGAATTAAATACCGCCACCATGAAGACACACCCAGTTAGCTCAACTAATACATACCTGAAAACTTTATCATGCAAGTTTTTTCATACATCATATACTTTCAAAGTCTCAACATGTTCTAAGCTTCAACATTTTTTTCACGTCTTTGTCCCACATTTCTTGAGTTTGTATTTTACAAATATTGCATATATTTCGATTTAAAGCTTTCATGACTGCAATGATTCATCTTCTTTGGTTCTTTCGGTAAAGTCACGTAGAATGAGAATAAAATAATAAATTGATAAAAATTAATGAGGAAACACAAATAAATAATTTCCCCTTCGTGTGGAAAATGTTGCAGGACCATTCTGAAAGTATTAAGATAAAGTGAGGCTTTACTGCATATACAAGTGTAATAATCACAAGTTGATGTTTTCATGGAAACAAAACTGGCCACATCTGATATTCAGAATTTGTTGGTGTCCTCTGTACAAAACGTGGATTTTTTTCATTTTTTCACTGTTGTTTTAGTCCGTTTATCGAAACTATTTTAGGAAATCATTGAAATAATTAGTAACCACTTCCCTTAAGTTTCACAAGCTACAAAGTACATGCATTTCAGGTTTTCTGAACCAATACCCTAAAAATCTAAAAACTTGTTGGTAAATCCTATAATCCAAGTCATTTTCACAAAGTCCACATTGTCATTTGTTTTACTTCATTCGTCTGAGTGCCTGATTGTGCTACTATTAAGGACCTCATACGATCCATGTAATGGCGACTTAAGAGGCACAAGCGGCTTACCAGCTCAGCGTTCTGAACCAGGGCAACTCATAGGAGTGATACACGTTGTAGCCGATGGTGATGATCTCATGAAAACACTTGATCTGAACACCAAGAACCTGTATTTCAAGGGAAACAACACAAAACCACTGAGTTTGCATGCCAGAAAAAATATATAATCTGGTATTCATACAACCCAATTGAATTTTTCCGAGAGTCCGTGTTTCTCTAACACCCTTCTCTGTGACCCTGTCACGATGCATCCTTCAAACTATCAAGCATCAGGTGTGTGCAACATGTCATGGTTTCATCTGCATATCAGTGGCAAATATTGGTAAGGACTGGCATTTGAAAGTCATTGCACTGCATTAATGAATAAAGAATAACTCCTCTGCAAGTCAGACAGACTGGGGCCATACATCCTGCATTAAAATGTATTGTTGACAAACTTTCAATGGTTTATAACTGTGGTTACATGTGTGATGTGCTACACTTCATTTTAAGTATTTTCCAGGTACAGCTCCAACAATGTAACAGCCATCACCTAGGACTTTGTGCAATCATAAAAAAAATCAAGTTGAGCCATTCAGACTGTCTCAAAACATTTTCGGTCAATGCTTAGAGGTCATAGTGGACAGGATCCATCAAGGGTCATATTTCACGTATAGACATAACTGCAAAATAAATGGCCAAATAAAACGTCTACATTGACCATTATCTGGAAAACATTAAAAGGCTTACTTAACCACCTTACGCAGACCTCACCCCTACTTTATCGTGTTTCATCACGTTTGTTCTGCACAAACAGCTTCGCAGTCACAAAATCATGCGCCACCACATAACGTCCAAAGAAATCCGGTGTGAATGTGATTTCGATGGCAGCATTGTATTTTTCGTGCAGTGCCTTGCTTACAATGAGCATGAGGACGAGCGGTCCCAAGTAGATGATGATGAAAAAGAATCCAATCATGGCAAGGGACAGAATCCCACGGACCCACCAGTTTCTCCATCTGAGGACACAAGCACAAACAAGCTGATGGCCTGCTGGCACCATATCCATAGTTTCAAGGGCAGTGCTGTGACAGCAAAATAACTTCAAATTACACATGGTGCTGAAAAATATGAAGCCCATGCATTTTGTGCATATTCAGCCGCATATACACATGCATTAAATATAATCTCTCAAAGTGCAATCTGTCAACTTGTTTTTCTTTCAAATGTAAAACAATGGAATATTTAAATTCACAACGGAAATCATTGTGGAATGCATTCCATGTTCCTCTGACAAAAGTAGACCAGAAATCACGAATCATATCAAAATTATCATTTGGTTAACTGCTTCACCTTCAGCCACCAGTCCTTTATCACCTGGACTGCACTTTCACTCTGGCCATTATAAGCCCCTTTATATTTTCAGTAACAAAAAGCTTACTGCTTAAGTAAATCTTCATCATGCTCAAACATCGATGTGGTTGTGTGCCAGCAAAGCGACAATGCCAGCGAGTAGAGTGTGTGCACCTTACCGAGACGACATCCCTGATAGTGCTTTGTTGAGCACCTCAGGCGTGTTGTCCGCACCGGGCTGGCCCATGGCCGTTTCCGGGCCGGACTTGGATCTGTCGTCCACCTTATCCTCGGCCCTCTCCTCTTCCTCATCCCGCTCTCCCCCCTCGTCCCCTTCGTCCCCTTCCTCCCCATCGTCCTTGCGGTCACTGTCCTCCCCTTTTCTCTCGCCCCAATCTTCGTTGTAATCCTGGGCATCATCTTCCTCCCCTTCAGTCAATAAATGCTTCGTGTCTTCTTCCTGAACACAAGGCATGACGTGATCAGAAATGTGCTCGAAAAGTAGGTGTATAAATATGCATCGGTTCAGCATTAAATATCAGTTCAAGCCTATGGCCTAGCATTAGTATGTTTGTTGTTTGCTGCAGACACCCTGATTAATGCTACAGGTGTTTTAACCTTAAAAATACACGTCTGCTTCACAGTGGTCGTTAAGGCTTCCATGACGTCATTCACAAGAGTAGGCCATTGTGTGACCATGGGCATTAATTAATGCCAGTAGGGGGCAATGATTGCTATATATAATCCCAATTGGGAAATGTGGACATTGTTTTATCTTTAAGGTCCACTGTAAATGATCATGGTATTACACCCACAGTAGTATGTATATGCTTTTCTGATGTATGTCTAATTTTGAAGGGACTGCAAATAAAAATGTATGAATTACTCCAGAGATTACAAAAAATATCGCCGAGTTGGGTCAAATGATGTGAATGTGCTAAGAAATCTGCTAAACATGGCTTTGGAGTGTTACATTTTATTATTGTTATTTCTGCTTTGTGATATCATTATCACCCAACCATGTATAATTATGCACAAATGGCTGCGGGAGAAATTGTGAGAATCTCAACATGAATGCACGCACAAATGGTGATGCTATAATTGCAGCAGAGACTAAATACATTGTGTCAGAAGTTTGACGGCCGTGCCAAGGAGTCAGATGGCTGTAACAGATCACAATACTGTATTCAATTTAAGTTATACATGTTCTGTATATATATAAGAACCAAGTTTTCCAATGCTCTAAGTCTTGTGCATTTCATTTATTCCCAACCACAGCTAACATCATTGGTGAGTGATATATGAACCAGTTCTGGCCCCCATCTTCACCAACTCACTGACCAGAGAGGCAATGTATGGTCAATCCCCATGACAGGCACAATGTGAAAGCCTTGTTCCATCCATGGAGTGACAAACATCTGTAAAATATGTATTTTGTATTTAAACAATATAAAAGCACACTATGTTTTAAATGTGGGAGTTTTATCTGTGCATTCTCAAACTTAAGATATTTTCGTGATGCTAATGCATCCAACGTTTGACACATATAGAGTACTTATTGATTGAATGGTCCTTGAAGAAACTCTGGCCCATAACATAGCAACAAATACTGTCACGAGAGGCCATTGCACTCACCATAATGTTAAAGATTGAATGATTGCATCAAATCACCACAACCATTTTGTCCAAACACTCATGAAACAAAGCTACATCTAAATCCTACATCTGCTCTGAGCAGCAACTGTTTGGTGCTAGCAATGCACTACAGTCTGGCAGCCCTGATTGAGAAACTCCGATAAGGTTGAGCAAAGGAAAGTAAAAGCAATGAGTAGCATTAGTGTGCTCGGCCTTGGTCTGCTGCCAATGTTTGCCGACGTCCACAGGTCATTATGCATCGAAAAGCATCCTAATGAGTTCTGGCCCCAAAACGGTGTGCCACGAGAGAAAATCATATACGAAATTATGTATTAGAGTTTTTAAAAAAACACTGGAAAACCAAACCTTGTCGAGGAAGTAAACTACAAAAAAATATTTATCACTGCAGCGGCAACAATGCACTTGTATTTTGTACCCGTATTATGTTTGACCTAAGCCATTTACATGGTGCAACATTTCACGGGAAATCTTAAAAGCATACAGTACCAAACACTGCTAAACACGCGTGCATGACACGGGGTTGAAATAACATTAACTGCAAATGGAACACATTTGCACAAAGTGAATTATCGGCGAATTTAATCAGATTTGTGCACGGAAACGCAATGCCCTATAGTTGGCCTGCACCCTGTCACCTTCGGCAATGTTGGTGTTTGCATAACACTGCAATATGGGGACTCGGTTAGCTTCTAAACCATGGTCACCATGGCAACATTAAACCTGCTCTGCAGCTCTGACCCCTTTACAAAATACAAAAAATGAACCCTTTCCCGGCAGCCTCCAATATCATTCAGCCCTCGTGCCCTTCACAATCTCTGCATTGCGCAACTGAGTACTTGTCGTTTTCATTGGCTAATTGGTCATGAATTGTACGGTTTGCGATTCTCATCTTTGAAGTTTCTACCTGCTAAGCTGCAATCTCATATGTTACAATTTCATATCGGTATGCCTCTGAAGAGAGGCTTGTGATTTTGCCACACACACACACAACTGCCTTAAATGGACAAAAATAAGAGCACAGTGACGGAGGTCAGCCCGTCATTGTGCACGACGTCAAGGGGGGACCCTTAACTTGTCGAAACAGGCAGTTCGCTTGACAATGTATTTAATGCGAAGAAGCGAGTACCAAGCAAAGGTGTGCTTTAAAATTGAATGCAAGACTGGATTAGGCTTTAGTCCAATAAACCTCAGCCTCAGGAGATACGGTCATATGTACACTTCTTTATAGCACCTCTAATTAGCACGGTTGGCTACGTACGGTGCGAAAGAAGTTCAACCTACATCCAGTACATACAACACACGGCCACAGCTGATTTGCACAATCAGTGAACAAACAGGGGTGCAGTCTTTCGTAACTCGGATACATTCAAAAGCCAGTGTGACATGTATGCATGGGCAGGTGTAGCAGTGCCGTTCAGAAGCAAATTTAAGCAAAGTTCAGGCAAGTTCCTGGAGGGTGGGGAGAGACGGTAAGTCAGAATAAGCATACTAATAGTGTACTGTGTAGAGACTATGGACTATTGGACAAGGTTTACACACACATGCCCTCCGATTACCTTAACTGGCAAAAATGTGGCCCAAAAATGTATTAGCACTGGGTAAAATGTAGGTTAAACTCTGTAGACATGTAACGATGCATCGATTAACTGATTTACAAAGTATTCTTATTCTCAGGATGCATACATTGAATCGAGAAAGAATGATTTTAATTCATAGACTTAGTTTGAAATTGGTTCATATAACCCGTGCACAACATTCGCCACAATGACAGAAAATGTTCTTGTGTGGAAACGAATCATAAACTTGAGTTGTTTTTCTGTAATTCATGGAATTATAAGGAGTCTAATTATTTGCATTTCTGGTATATCTGTGCTTACGGTAATTTGATGGTGTTGGTTTGAGCTTAAATGCTAGCGCTTGGGATTAATATACAGGATTGATTAAAAATAACTTCTTTTTAAGTTACTATTAATGATGGAGATAAGATATTAACATTAGTGAAAGCAGTTAAAATGTAAAGTTTGGGTAAATCAGAAATCTGGGTTATTATAAGGTTTCAATGAACTTTCCAATTGGCATTTTGCAATGTGTTTGGAACAGTGCATTCCATGACGTACATTTCTAAAAGTTAGGCAACCACAAATAAATAACGTATGTGGGAATTCCGTATCTCGTCACATAATGATTAATTTATCCGGCTTACATTGATACGACAATTATCATCCACATGGTCCAATGTATTGAAGCTGCATTGGTAAGTATAAATTAAGCACCTTCAAATAATCAAGTTACCGTATTGTATTACAACATGCACACATGCAGTGCTGTTGAATTTCACTCACTGCATCATCTTTGAGGTTTGTGTTAGTCACAGATTCCATTGCATAATCGTTGTCCAACTCTTGAAACAAACCCTATGAACTGTAGACAAATAAGCCAAAATTCACCCAAAGAAATGAATTAAACGAGCGGTTAAGTAAAACGGAGAGCGTAAAGTCAATAAATTCAAGACCTAGTTATATAAAATGCACACAAATGGAACAAGAGTTAAATATTGCTTATGTATGAAGCCACGGGGGGGGGTAACTTTAAAAAATAGTGGCCCATTTATTGAGTCAACTATTTTACTAAAAACAAGAGCATCCATCTGTTTGACAGAACGACTAATAATTAATTATTTGCCCCATAAGGTTTTTGAGGTTCGACATCACGCGGATAACTGCGGAATGACGAGAAGACGCGAGTCTCGGGCCTGGTGCGCCATCCATGGACAACCGACACACGCACAATCATTCCATTCCTTCACAAACTTCACAGCATGCATCACCCTGGCGCTACAGCCAACACAAAACTTGTTGAGAGAGAAACTGCACACTCAACGATTGCGTGGCCCACGGAGCGAAGCAAATGATGGGGGTGTAGGAAAAAGTAGTACCGTGGGGTCAAATCTTTCGCCACAGAAGGTCCACCACCATGTAGGGGTGGGTGACAAGGAAAAAAATATAAGGCAATGGGGTTGGAATTTTCCGTAAGGCAAACACTATGGTATTCCAACTCGGAGCCCCACGACAAACGAAAAACAACACATTTACCTCGAAGCATTATCTCCTCTGCAAATATCACAGGACTAATTCACAGTCACAAACAACAGTGTCAACTCATAACGTCGGGCTGTTAACTCTCATGGTGTCCATCATCTTTCCATTGCTGGATGAAAGCCTAAACAAGCCGTCGCCATCTCTCTGGGCCTTGCTATGCAAAAAATAAAAAAAATATTCTATCACGTTCACTCGAGATGATATCATTGCGGCGTCTCAACTTGTATACATAATTCACCTTGCAATGTTATGGATCGCCGTGGCGAGTCTAAACACACGATCCACACAGAGCCAGACTCAGAGATCAATAGTGACCCGCAGACTAAGGGACCTACCGACAAACGAATATAACTGTAACGATCTATAAAATGTCGTACCTATGCCCAGTTTATACAGAGCTTCGCAAGCAGTCGGTCAATAAAAAAATCAAAATTTTGTATACCACTCACACTGGGACTCACATCGACACCATGTACAGTACTGTAACTCACAGACACCCATAGCTCCACAGTCACACGGAGCACCCCCCCCCCCCATCTCCCATGACTGCCTCTCTAACATTTAGACACGATATAAAGTGTATATCAATTGCGAACGTTTAAATTCGAAAAATAAAACCCAAGCCGGGAACGAAACCTGGGCCCGCTCCCTCTGCCCGGGGCCACAAAGCGTGGCGCTTCAATGACGCGGGGGGGAGGGAAGTCTCTCACCGCCGGTGCCGAGCCTCGGTGAGGACGGTCCGGGTCGCCCTCCACATCGGCCGGGATCCGCTGCCTTAGTTCGGTGCTCATGAGTCCCGAGCGACGGCGACGACGACGCCGCCGGAGATATTAAAAAAAAGAATGGGACGCACACGCGGTGGTAGTGCTGCTGCTGCCTCGACCGCCGCTCACGAGGCGGGATGAGGGCAGCGGATGACGATGGGTGACTGTCCGTCTGCTGCTGCTGCTGTTGCTGCTGTTGTTGTTATTATTCGCTGCTGATGGCTGTGATGTGCTAGTCACGGCTATTGTGGACGAAGCAACCCGAGGTTAAATGTCGTCTCGGCTGAGGGTGCCCAGCGCTGGTTTGCTGTGAGCGGGGCGGGGGGGCGCAGCGACGATGACGCGGTAGCCCCCACCCCCAACCCCACCGCACCGATCCACTCACACAAAGGCATCGTCATCGTCATTTTTTATTTCATCAATAATTTTGTTTATTAAACTAACCCCCTCCCCCCGCACCAAATAAAGGTAATGGTATTTTATTCGAGGAGGATATATTTTTTTCACTTCTTATAAAAAGGTTAACATTTGAACCTACGGTTTCGTGAGGGGTGACGCCTTCACGGAAGTGACGGCACCCTCCAGATTTCGCGCGTTTTTATTTCCCGCCATTTCGTATCCTTCACCCTCCCGTCGCCGCCGTCGGAGCTCAACTTCGCCGCGCTCTCTTCGTCTCGCTCCTCCCGATTGACCGCCTTGAAATAAGCTAAATACAGCTCGCGGGCAAAACGAAAACGCACTCGCCAAAATGTTCGAGGCACGCATCCTGCAGGGAAACATCCTGAAGAAGGTTCTCGAGGCGCTCAAGGATCTCATAACGGAGGCGTGTTGGGACATCAGTTCGACCGGCGTGAGCCTGCAGTCCATGGACTCGTCGCACGTGTCCCTGGTGCAGCTCACCATGCGCAGCGACGGCTTCGACACCTACAGATGCGACCGCAACCTCGCCATGGGCATCAACCTCACCAGGTGCGGAGAGGCTAGCGCGGTGGCGGGAAACGGCTCCATCGTATTTAACCATGAAACTAATACCAACAGCGATCGGCAACTCCCCACCATTGGCATCGACGGTAATAGTTCCACTGTTAATTACAATTCATTTTCACTGGCAGTAGCGCTATTAATGTGTAGGCGCTGCTTGCAAACTGTAGTCAAGTGTGTTACGAATCGGCAGCAATAGCGGGCGCCTGTGACACTCGTCAACCTCGAGGTGTCACTGTTGTAACCGTCCAGCAGTAGCATCACAAGAGCAAAAAAAACATGCCGAACTTGGCTAAAGACAATCACTTCGTAGCACCAGCACCTCCGTAAATAACAGCACCAACCTGACAAACGCCCATCACCACCATCATCACCACCAGTACGATCAGACGAATACTTCATGGACTTGGCGTGAACCATGTTGCTACGAGCTACTAAAATCGTTTCAACAGTTTTGCCGAAGTTAAATTAAAATTAGTTCTCCCATCACAGCTATGCTCTGTGACCGCACGTAAAAGTGTACTGCGTGTGCATTCTGTAAGTCAGCATGTTCATGATCACGTATGTAAGTACAGCGGCTTTGTAAAGTAAAATACTGTATAGTCTTCGGGGCGCAAGGGTTTGTACTTCACAAGAGCAATAGTATTTGTAAGAGCCATTGCTAGTAAACGTAAGGAGTTTATTATTGTGCGTGTGAGTAATGCATGTGTGCGTGGTAGCCACATGTACTTTGCTCTGTTTAAGAGATGCTCACAACTTCCCCCCTCCCCCCCCGGTCGCCTTTTATCGCAGTGTAAAACTATAGTAATGCTTAAACCGTTAGAAGTTACATAAAAGTCTAGTTTGGTGTTACCTTTGACGTATTTTGTTGCTGTGTTGTAATAACTCTGAGCAAATAAATAAATAAAAACCGCGGTGCGAGTGACAGCCGCGATGGCGCGAAATTGAGGCCCGAGGCCCGCGCTTATTGTGTGACGAGCACTTCGCTGGCTTCTTTAGCTTTTGTCTTTGTTCACCTAAAAGCTTACTGCGTTTTCTGTATTTTTTTATATAACCAAACGCAACGCCGTGTGCTTTTGTGTTAGTTGTACAACAACTCGATTAGTTTAGTGAGTGGTTATCACCCAATGAGTGTGGTTGCCACCAAAACGAGTGTGGACCGCGCATCGATTGACGATAGACCTATTTCTTTTTTTATTCGAGTGCTTTATTTGTATCGGGTTCTTGGAATTGTGCGACCGTGCAAATGTTAGCGTGTGGCTTGCCCTTCCTAATCCGTGCTCCCCTCCCGGCTCTTGTCGTCACCCCTCCTGTGCAGCATGTCCAAAATCCTCAAGTGTGCCGGCAACGACGACATGATCACCCTGAGGGCCGAGGACAATGCAGACATACTCACCCTGGTGTTCGAGGCCCAAAGTGAGTTGCACATTGACATGACACGTTGACATGACTGACAGACGCATGGTTTGTTGTTCACTTCCCGCCACCTCTGATGAGCACGGTTCGAAAGAAGTTCATCATACTTAGGTACAGCATGAGACCCAAGTGGATACATTTGACAGAACACCCCTAGAATACTCCCATTGATAGGACACCTCTAATTGGCATACATTTACAGGACAACCCCTAGCTCTCACGCATTGACAAGACATCCCTCATCTGGTTGGACACCGTCTAAACGATGGCTCTTGCGTTGACAGGACGCCTCTAGTGGAAAGACAAAAAAAGTATCTTGTAGAATTACTTGATAGGATACCCCTAGTGGACACGCATCGATAGGACAGCCACCAGTGGACAATCGTCATGCCACCCCTAGTGGACGTATATCGGCGTGGCATTTCGAGTGGATTCGCATTGTTAGAACACCTCGAGTCGGCCGATACTGACTGAACACACCGAGCGATGGGTACACGACTCGTATAAATCTAATACATTATTAAGTTAGGCGCCACGGTGGCGCGACATGTTAACTACCTCGCCTGGTATACAGGAGGTCGTGGGTTTGATCCTGACCCTGACACCTTTAGAGTTTGCATTTGGAGTTTGCATTTTCTCCCCGTGGTTGTATTGTGATGTCACATTGGGATATTTATTTGAATTGATGCTTTCTCTTTTGGAGGTATAATAGATCATTAATTTACTCTTTTTATTCCAGATCATGAGAAGGTGTCTGATTATGAGATGAAGTTGATGGACCTGGATGTAGAGCAACTGGGAATTCCCGTAAGTTGATTTCATGGTGTCATATTGAAATGTAGAAAAATGATTTTTTTTCTTGGTAACAGTAGTCTATGTATTCTTAATAACAGTACAATTCTGTTTTTTTTACTCACTTGGATATTTTTTAAAATGTGTCTCTCCACATGTCTGGTGTTCAACAGGAACAGGATTACAGCGCCGTTGTGAAGATGCCATCTGGGGAATTTTCTCGGATATGCCGAGATCTGAGCCAGATTGGTGACTCCGTTGTCATCTGCTGCACCAAAGACGGTGTAAAGTTTTCAGCCAGTGGCGAGTTGGGCACTGGCAACATCAAACTTTCACAGACCAGCGGTGCTGACAAGGAAGAGGAGGCTGTAAGTTTGTACTCTAAGTTTGTGGCCTATCTACCTTTCACATTCGTCAAAACAAATCCTGGTTCTCTGACACGTGTTTGATATTTTAGCTTTTCTATATATATTTACCTCGCTGTATTAAATATACAAGTGTTACAGTAAAATGAAAGTTATTTTTTTCCTACCAGGTAACGATAGAAATGAGTGAAGCCGTGCAGCTGACATTCGCCCTTCGCTACCTGAACTTCTTCACCAAGGCCACCCCACTGTCACCCACCGTTACACTCCGGATGTCTGCCGATGTCCCGCTTGGTAAGTAAATTAGGTCTTGTGCATTACCAAGTAATCTACTCTGCACAATACTTATTTTCACCTGGACTTTAATTTCCAAAGACCAATAATTAAAATCTGCTTATAATGCTCTCAATTTGCCATTGTTGAATGTGTATTTACAAAAATAATTTCTCAATGTCAAGTGTGGTATCAAAACATGAATTAACATTCATTTAATGTCAATTGAGAAGGCACTAAAATGGATGTTATGCTTGTTAAATATCACTGTTACAGAATTGTTTATAAAGTCTACAATGTATATAAAGTGTACCTATCCCATTAACTTTCTTTCAGTTGTGGAATATGGCATCGCAGACATGGGCCACATCAAGTACTATCTGGCACCCAAGATTGAGGATGAAGAGGCTGCATAACTTATCTGTATGCAGTGTTAATGCATTGGCTACTATAGCCGCTTATAGTTGAGTGGGCCATGGGGACTAGAGGGAGATGCACTTAATTGAAGGCATAGATAATATTAAGTTATTTAACCCGGCAATTATTGTATCTCTGTGCACAATTGTGTTTTCTTTGAAAAGCCACACACGCAAGGACACGCACAATTGTCTCTACACCCCCTTTACACTGTCCCATGGGCTACGTTGTTTAAAAATACAATGACAATGCAATCTATTGTCAAAGCAGGAATGTATCATGCTTTGTTGCATGCTGCAAAATGTCACCGTTTAATAGTCCAGCCCTTACTGATAAAATAAGAAAAAGGCCACGTCTACACTTTGGGGAATGTCGATTTGCCTGGTATCAAAACCATATACATTTTTTTAGTAAGATGAAACTTAATTGTGGATTTATTGTGCTCAATTGTTAAGGTAGTTTTTGGTAATTCTAGAAAGCTTGTTAGTCTGAAGGTTATACCTTTAAATTGTCGACAAAGCGTTGTTAATATACACAAATTAATAAACTCTGAAAAGTAAGCTTGTAATTCCCAAATACTACCTTATATTTTTGTATTACTGTTGTAGACCTGTCGTGTTACAAGGTGAATAAACTTGTGAACTACAAAGTTGTGCTGTCTGCAATATTTTATTTTTACACAAATAAGCATCATAAGCACATCATTTGTGGATACATCTTGAACACTTGTTTTTGACATGTGCTGCAGTTATAAAATGTGGATTATTATGTGGTTAATATTGGAATGGACTATGTTCACATGGGCCTCTCAAAGCTGGTCTTTTTGCTTTTCTCATACTTTAATGAAATCCCCAAGCCAATGAAAATACATTAATACTTTTTGACAATTATTTGGGCTGAATTTTTCATGGACGGGCAATGGCCTCAAGTCCTAATTGGGTCACTCAAACTACTAGTTTACTATGTAACGTTTGAGCTCATTCTTAAGCTACACTAAGTGTTTCATTCCTGTATTTAATGGAGTACAAGTGACCAAAATGGCGTTAAAGGTAAAATGTGATGACTGCTTCCTGGGATTATATGTACGGTAATGTACACACAAAGTTTGGAACTGGTCTTGGATTTGGCCCAGACCTGGCCTCTATTTTTCTTTAACGTTTATGCTGAAATATCAATACAGTATGTACACAAGTTAAAAAATAACCATAAAAACAGGCAAATACTTTACAATTTTGCAAGTTACGGTACCATTTAAAATACTGCTGGATTTAAGCAACAGCTCCGAAGGAGCCATTTTAAGGTTATATTTTTATTTATTGAAGAATTGTTTAAATAAGGAATCAATATAAAAGCACTCGGACAGTCCGTATTCTTTTGTTCACCAGTTTGGAGCCTGCTCGGTCAAGTGCGTCGGTGGCCAGGTGCACTGATCTTACCGAATACTTAAACAACAGCGGACTCTTTAAGACAGGCCTGCTGCTATTCTTCTCGGGTCTCCTTCAGAGAAACCATTGATTTTTAACTGTGGTGCAGAGAAGAGCACTTCTGTCTCTAAACGTTCATCCTGTGCACCGGTTTTTATTTGGAGCTTGGTCTAGAATACATTGATACAAACATGGACTGTTCTGTCAATGGATTACAGAGCTTATCTAGGCCCCAATGGAGAGAGCTTGAAGTGGTGTATACATTGGTATATGATAGGATCGGCAACCTGGAGCTCCGGAGCCGCATGCAGCTCTTTAAGGACTGATTTGTGACATTATTAAGGGCCACCGTCTCATTCACCACATGCATTGTGGCTCTTGAAACATGGAGGGTTTTTTTTTACTGAATTTGAAATAATTTCTCTTGTTAACTTATTTGCTGACCCTTGGTCTATGATAAGAATGGGCTCGTGTCTTCAGACGAAAAATACTGCCTTGAAAATCAGCGGATGGTGCTGGTGCCAGACTTCAGCATCAGCCGTTCTTGGTCTGGGAGAAGCTGATCTGCGCGTAGATGGTGCGCGGTAATGGCTGGGGCTTTGTGGCCACTGGTCTGGTCAGGTCCAAGGCTGCATATGTCACATCGCACGGCACCAGTTCCTCCGCCTAGGGAAAAATAACACAGTAAAACCTTGGATTATGAGCATAATTCGTTCCGGAAACGTGTTTGTAATCCAAAGCACTCGTATATTAGTTGTGATCACGTGACGCTCAGCAGACAAAGCGTATACGTACTGCTCGTATTGCAAGACCTCGCTCGTTTATCAAATTAATATTTATTTAAAAATTTTGGTCGTCTTGCAAAACACTCGCAGACCAAGTTACTCGCAATCCAAGGTTTTACTGTACTTTTATTATATGCAATCCATTGTACTCTATGTAGATTATATTTATACATCAGAGTAAATGTTTATTATTGACAGCAATGCATGTCATGCAATGGAAATAATTTCAGCACTTTGCCAATCCACCGCTGAATGACTCCCCATGCCGTGTTACTCATGAGGGAGACACTATACTGTATTATACACTATTCCACCACACTTTTAATATCTGCAGTGGATTCAGGAACATGAAATCGTTTAAAATAACACAAAAAAACAGTCTGATTCCTTCATTACACGTGTGCCTCTCGATGTGTCATTTGCAGGTAAAGCGGTGGTGAGGTTTTCTCACCGAGATCGGCCGTGGCTCTGGAGGCAAGTCCGCAGAGATGGAGGGTTCCGGCAGTGTACACACACTGCTTCTGGTCACTGACGCTGTGAAATCACAGGCACACAAAGCACAAATATGCGTCGTGCTTTCACGTGGGTGATCTGTACGTACTATATTCTTCCATAATATTGAGTGGATTTAAAAATTAAATCGGCCGATTACATTTTGAGTTGAACATCGTGTTAAGTATAATTAATGGTGCATATTTTGCAGTGACAGATATTCTGTCATATTTTTCTCATTCATACTTTTTTGTCTTTTTCCTTCCAATTGTGCTCATGGCACCATGTCATGAGACAAAGTATCAATTCAAATTATGCAGAGATAAGTGCATCACCCTCTGTGTTAGTGAATGGCCCATTATCACAGAACTACTTATGAGTTCCCTTGCAGTGAACATTTCATCCACATACTCGTGGGCATACTTTCCCACATGTACTGCTGTAGAGTACCGTAGTGTTTATACCAGTGAAATTGATATTTTTAGCATAGCAATGAAATGGATATCTTATTTTTCATACTTAAGCCAAAAATTTAATGGAAACCCACATTTATTGTGATGGAGTATTTTTAGTTGTTAAATCATTGGTGATGGCCATCTAAGAACCTATTTTTTTCACTGGTGACTCCAAGAATTTGAACCAAGAATGGTGATGACACAATGCTGTAACCCCTGAGTCACCAAGCCACCTGAAATGTGTATAGTAATTGTATACCTCTGTTTTCTGCAAATTTGTCTTGCAGGGTTTTGATAACCTTGGCACTGTTTGTGCAGGCTTGATGGTCACTAGCTGTGCAGCCGTTCACTTTTGAGTGGCTCCTGTTAAGACTGAAACACAAATCAATGGGAATAACTCGATTAGAATAACATAAACCAGCGTGCGAATATGAATAATGTTTGTGATAATAGCACCATGACATGCGCTGGATTGAATCATACCTGCATTTGCAGTCTTGAAAGCTTCTGGATGCTGCAATGAATCATGCAAAATAATCCTTAAATATTTTAAACTATTGTCATGTACACTCAATGTTTTAGACTAATATCTTTAGATATGCAGGGTTAATAAGAAATATTAAAATCTGAAGAAGCAATTATCAGCAAAACAGAATAGTTTGGATTACAAATTAACAAAACTGCTGTATATTGGGAAATTTGTTGAAAGATAATTATGAGATTTAAAAAGATTGCAAATTCTGAGAAACACTCACAAATAGCAATTTTGGAGACAGCTGGAAGCACAAAGCAATAAATTACCAGTTCTGTGACAGATCCATTATACCCTCGTACAATTAAACAGTACTTACGATACAAAAATAGAGTGAATCAGCATAGCTGCTAAAAAGGAAAACAACACATCGTAATTTTAATGTTAATGCGACCTGGACCTGCAGATGTGGAGCGGTGCTTCCTGGTCCTGTGTCGGTGCAGGATGATGGACAGAAAGAGCAGGAGGCTGATGAGTCCCAGAGAGCACACTGCCACCGTCAGTATATAGAGCTCTGCACAGCAAAAGGAGACAGCATGCTTAAAAGTAGACATTTGATCTGTTTTTCTTCAGGTCGTGCTATTGGTGTCATATCCTGCAATAAAGTATCAAGTTGTGATCTATTATTTTTTCTACCTACGTGACTTTACCGAAAGAACCAAAGATTATGGATTCCTGCAGTCACGAAAGCTTCAAATCAAGAATAAAGTATCAATTTGGATATTTTGCAGAGTTATCCAACCAGTTCACGTTAGAAAGCAGCCCACAGCAGTGGATATCACAGAGTCAGACATCGTGCCGAACAACACGTGGTGCTGCCCAAAAATGCGTTAGATAACTTTTTGCGTCATTGTTCTTTTTATAAAAAGGCCAGACAACAAATCAGAAAAACAGACAAAGTTTAGCTCTTGGAAACAGTTTTCCCATGGGTGATTACAATTGAGATGTGAGGCGTCTTTGAAGTAGCAAATGTTGGGCACACCTTGCGAGATGGACATTGGCACCCCTTCATTGAAGACCATTTCCTCAATGGAGCTGGGTCCTTTGGTTGACGGGGTCTCCTGGTGAGGATAGATGTTGGAGTCTGGTCTCAGGACTGTCAGTAAAGTGGATTGAACACAGAATGCAATCAGTATGTTGGCTTTATCATGCACACTTATCAGGAAGTCACTTTTAAAGGAATATTTTCGAGACTGGAGAAGGCACGTAACTAGTAGCCGAGCAGTCATAACTGACCCAGACAGACCCTGCTGAAATTAAGCTCTGCGCATACTCTCTCAACCGTACAGATTCTGTTCTAGTTATTTTATATCATGTTGTAGTATAAGCTCAGAATCACATGATGCAATGCTCCCAATCCACTGCCCATAATTCAATGATTTATCACGATTTAATAGATTATTTTGTCTTTATCTTATCATCTTGTTTGAATTGTTTCCCGTTCGGTCATTCTCGTTTGTGGTTTCATCCACTCCCGTTTGTGGTTGCGCCCGAAACGTCGTGATTTATTTTACACCTACGTGACTTTATCGAAAGAACCTAAGAGTATTCGCATTATGCTTCCATATCATTTTAATTGCTCGTAAATAATTTATTCTCACATGCACAGTTGATTGCACGTATTGTGAACACTATAATTTATTATAATTAATGGATGTAGCATTCAATGCCTACTTCAGGCAGAGAGTTACGTGCCAACTTTTTCTTAATCAAAGTAAAAAAGTTCCACATTGAAATGAGAAAGGAAAACCTGTCATGTACATGGAAGTATTGTTTCATAATCCGATTCATATTATCAGTTTTATTTCATTAAATAATTATGCAACGAATTATTTAGGTATATATGCTGCCTTTGCCATACCTGTATTTCATACGATATTTATAATAATAATAAAAATTCAGTTCCTTTGTTACTCCCCTTCTGGAAGAAGGCCTCCCCACACCGTGTAGGTCATGGGAGTTGTTTGACCATACTTCACCACCATGATCGGTGCGGGTTGGTGAAGAGGGGGGGGGGGGGTGGTCTAGGACCGGTTAAGATATCACCCGCAGCTAATGTGAGCCCTGGCTGGCCTTCCAACTCGGGCGGCACGCGGTTCAATGTCCAGTACGCGTGAACCGTCCCACTGCGGCAGCGTCCTTCGCTAATTTTTAGAGGTTGAGCCACTTTCGCCGACAGGACATCATCGGTGTGAGGGCCGCCACACCGCCTGCAAAGGGGGTATTTTTATATTTCTATATTGTCGGGGGCCCCGCACATCAGGGGCCGCACTAAAGGCCACCAGGGGCCGCTAGTTGCTCACGGTCCTTGCAATGAAGAACGCTGCACTACTGGTACCCCCCCCCCCCCATCTAGTATTCATTGTACAGTGTATCATTTCCACAGGATATATGCTTTAAAAAAAGCTGTGAATCACCGCATTGATTGTAAAAGTAATGTGAGAGCATTCCTTTTGGCAGCTCTACAGCAGCGGGCATTTCGCTTGATGAGTCACTCATCCGCCTCGTGCTCAACAACACTTTGAATGGACAGCATTTCATCGCTGTGCGTAAGTATTACCAGATCCTTGCTATGACACAATTGAGGCTATTGGCCCAAAACCCCCCAAGGCATGCAGATACATCTTTAGATCATGCAGCCGCAGTAGCAATTGCACGTCTGATTCGCAATACTGTACGCGAATTAAATTGTACAAAGACGTTTTTTGTTGAAGTCTCTCAAGCTGAAGGGTAGATCGAACTTTAGTCCTCAAGGCTCCATTTCTAAATTATAATTATACTACGGGCTTTTACATGGACGACTGCTCATCAGAAGTAGTAAAAAAATCTTCAAATATACCAATGAGATACAGTAATATCGATTGACAAATGTTGGTATCCTAAGGGACAAGATACACTTGGGCAATTTCAGGAAAATCGTTGCCAGCATTCATCACTGGCAAATGGGTACTGCACCACTTTATAGTTGATAATTTGCGTTTCAAAATCTGGACAAATATGATTGCAACCATCCCCCTCGCAATACAATTGGACAGCAACGTCCAAAACGATTTGCAAAGATCAAATTATGACTCAAAAGTTGTGTGCTTTGTATACCGATCATTTTTCATGAAGCACAAACTCCGTGTCCATTGGTTAGACACAAATCTATTATTTGAGCCATTGCGATGCCATGTTGCCACAGTTGCCCACAACAAAACACGCATTTCAGGTGACATCTGTGCCAGTGACGACATTTGGTCCCCTCGCGCAACACGGCCTTAAGAATGCGCTCACTGGTGTGCCATCAAACGCGTTCACCTCTGAGTTTCACCTCTGCCGAGGCATTGAGAACCCCGTCTTCCCAGCCGCTCGTGGCCACGCATCGATACGTCCCCACGTCAGCTCGTACTGCCGGAGAGAGGCTCAGCGACAACGCGAGGAGCGATGGGTCCCAACTCAAGTCCAGGCCACCAGTTCTCTGCCTCTCCCGAAACTCCTCGGCGACTTTGAGTTTCCCTCGCCGGTCTCGACGTGCAATCTCCACCTCTGACCCATCGACGCCTGCCAGCAGCCACTGTACGACCAGCTCATGGGAGTGATCCACGGGCCGAGCTGTGGCTGGGTTCATTTGTTTGGATATTTCCAACCTTGTTGAGATTCCACGAGTTGGGCTTGCGTGTTCTGGCGGTGGTGGTGTGATGGTTTTTGTTGTTATAAAGGTGGTTTGAGTGGGAACGACCATGAGTTTATTATGGGTTTCAGTTGTTTTTTGAGGTGTTAAATAGCCTGGAGTTTTAATGAGTGGTTTCTTGTGGTCTGAGCCTTTTCTCTCAGGGACTTGTCGCATGGGCTGCTTCTTATCTGGATGTGCATGTGCAGGGGGTTTTGGTTTTAATTGTCCAGTCTTATTTGTGTTGTTTGTGCGATTTAATCGCCCCAGATTTGAATCGGCTGCTTTAACCATCGTCAAGACATTTTCAATCGTCGTTCTTTGGCGTGAGCTCACCTGAGTAGGCTCTACTGGGTCCAAAATGTCACTGGTTTCAGTAAGGATGTGCATTTCTTTAGTTGGCTCATATTCCGTTTTGTCTTTGACATCCGTTTCGCCCAAGGTGACCTCCAGCGGTGGATTTTGTAAAGGTGTTTTCAAGGTGGCATGAGCTTGAGCAGTGATTGTATGACCCAGTTTGTTTGCATGTTCTTGTGGCTTATTTGCCCTCGTTCCTTTCTGCGTTGCTCTAGAGCGGCCAAGATTCGTGCCTAACCTCGAATTGTTCTCGTGACTTGGGTCAGTGGCAACGCTTTCTGTGGACTTGTCACCGCTTGATATTCTTTTTACTGGTTTAGTGTGGTCTTTGGTAAGACGAGGCGATGCCTCTTGTTGGTCTGGGTCATGCTGCGATGTTGTGTTCCGGTTTTGGACCTTCACAGCTGGAGCTTGTGTTGACTTAGAGGGCAGGGAAGCCTTTTCGTTTGTTTGATGTTGGCCTATTCGCTGGGTTTGTGTCTCCGAGCTATGCTCTGCTGTTTTACCTTGCCCCTTGTGTTTTGGTTTTTCACTGTTTGGCTTTGTTTGATTGTGATGTTGATTTGCAATCAGAGTAGTTTGCTTTGGTTGGCTCAGTCTTGGTGTTTTTTCAAACTTCGTCAATCTGGAGTTCTTCACGGGCAGTTTAGGTGATCCTGGTCTTGCCCCTTGTTCAACCTTCTTAGCAGCCTGACTGGATGTCTGGTTCAATTGTTTTGATCTGTAAGTCAGTGTAAGTGACTTGGTCCGATTTTCCGGCATCTTCTTGCGAACCCCAACCACCGAAGCAGTGCGTGAAGCAGAATGCAGCAGCGTTGCGTTTGAAACGTCCACTAATTTGTTCGCGGGCTTCCCTTGTTTGTGTTCCTTGCCGTGTTCTGCGAGTTTGGTTTTATCCAAATTCTGATCATCCTCCGTCGAGTTGTCGAGAGTTTTAGAGATCAACCGAGGTATTTTAGTGTTCGGTGTCTTAGCTCTCCTTGTCCTGGCTCTGCCAAGCATTGGTTTGAGCTGCGATGCTCTTACGGGGCTTTTTCCGGCATCTCCTTGGTGTCCTGTTGGTGGAGACTCGCCAGTCAAAATCTCCAAGTCTCTTTGGTCCAAAGGTGGCGGCCTTCGCCTTTCAACCGCAGTGGGATTTGCGGTGCTGTCGATGCCTTTCGCGTGGATATTGGGTGAGGTCTCTTTCTTAGTTTTGCTGCTCGGCTTCGACTGGCCTTGAGCCTTGTGAGATGACACGGTAGAGTAATTCACCGCCCAGCTAAGGTCCGGAGGATTGTTGTCGCTCGGTGCACGAAGGTCTGGCGTTACTGGCGTGCTTGGTCTCACTGAACAAACAATCCAGACCGTCTCGCCTTCCATGTGGACACTAGCTTGTGGTTTCGCTATTGCATGCACCGCCAGAGCATTGCATGAGCCTGAGAGTGGTGAAACAAGCCATCAAATGCACGCTTTAACGGAGTAAACATAAGTACAATGGTGCATTGATAAATGAGAGTGCAACACGGAAAATGGAACAAAGCGGAAACGTTCGCTATAATGTGTTGAGAAGTGCAAGCTTGGATACAGTGAGGGAAAAGAGTATTTGATACCCTGCTGATTTTGTACGTTTGCCCACTGACAAAGAAATTATCACTCTATCAATTTAATGGTAGGTTTATTTGAACAGTGAGAGAGAATAACAACAAAATACAGAAAAACGTATGTCAAATATGTTATAAATTGATTTGCTTTTTAATGAGGGAAATAAGTATTTGACCCCTTCTCGATCAGAAAAATTTCTGTCTCCCAGGTGTCTTTTATACAGGTAACGAGCTAAGATTAGGAGCACACTCTTAAAGGGAGTGCTCCTAATCTCAGCTTGTTACCTGTATAAAAGACACCTGTCCACAGAAGCAATCAATCAATCAGATTCCAAACTCTCCACCATGGCTAAGACCAAAGAGCTCTCCAAGGATGTCAGGGACAAGATTGTAGACCTACACAAGGCCGGAATGGGCTTCAAGACAATTGCCAAGCAGCTTGGTGAGAAGGTGACAACTGTTGGTGCGATTATTCGCAAATGGAAGAAATACAAACAAACTGTCAATCTCCCTCAGCCTGGGGCTCCATGCAAGATCTCACCTCGTGGAGTTGCAATGATCATGAGAACGGTGAGGAATCAGCCCAGAACTACACGGGAGGATCTTGTCAATGATCTCAAGGCAGCTGGGACCATAGTCACCAAGAAAACAATTGGTAACACACTACACCGTGAAGGACTGAAATCCTGCAGTGCCCGCAAGGTCCCCCTGCTCAAGAAAGCACATATACATGCCCGTCTGAAGTTTGCTAATGAACATCTGAATGATTCAGAGGACAACTGGGTGAAAATGTTGTGGTCAGATGAGACCAAAATGGAGCTCTTTGGCATTAACTCAACTCGCCGTGTTTGGAGGAGGAGGAATGCTGCCTATGACCCCAAGAACACCATCCCCACCGTCAAACATGGAGGTGGAAACATTATGCTTTGGGGGTGTTTTTCTGCTGAGGGGGCAGGACAACTTCACCGCATCAAAGGGACGATGGACGGGGCCATTTGCCGTCAAATCTTGGGTGAGAACCTCCTTCACTCAGCCAGGGCATTGAAAATGGGTCGTGGATGGGTATTCCAGCATGACAATTACCCAAAACACACGGCCAAGGCAACAAAGGAGTAGCTCAAGAAGAAGCACATTAAGGTCCTGCAGTGGCCTAGCCAGTCTCCAGACCTTAATCCCATAGAAAATATGTGGAGGGAGCTGAAGGTTCGAGTTGCCAAACGTCAGCCTCGAAACCTTAATGACTTGGAGAAGATTTGCAAAGAAGAGTGGGACAAAATCCCTCCTGAGATGTGTGCAAACCTGGTGGCCAACTACAAGCAACGTCTGACCTCTGTGATTGCCAACAAGGGTTTTGCCACCAAGTACTAAGTCATGTTTTGCAGAGGGGTCAAATACTTATTTCCCTTATTAAAATGCTAATCAATTTATAACATTTTTGCCATGCGTTTTTCTGGATTTTTTTGTTGTTATTCTGTCTCTCACTGTTCAAATAAACCTACCATTAAAATTATAGACTGATCATTTATTTGTCAGTGGGTAAACGTACAAAATCAGCAGGGGATCAAATACTTTTTTCCTTCACTGTATATATTGAGGAGAAAAAGAGAAACTCATGGATTAGAGAGCATATGCAAATTCGAGGGATCATATTGACGTTTGAGGCAAATTAGGACTTGGGTAGGATACATTGTTGTTGACCAGTATAAAGGGATCTTATCTTATATTTAAAAAAATGTGCGCCTTATTCCAAGGTGCTTTACAGCAAATATAAAATTGTACATGAGACGATAGTGGTTGAAATAAATAGCGGGTTATTAAAAGTGGTATTGTAGTAACGGTGACGGTTACGAGAGCAGGTGGGAGAGGTTGAGGAAGGGATTGGGATGATGCTAGGTGGACAAGACTGGTGATGGAACAGCAGCCAAAGGAGGGAATGCTTCTGAGAGAAATGTGAAGGATGGTGATTGGCTTTATCTAGCAGTGGACCAACAGCGGACGATGATGCCATTAACAAAGCATTGCCATTAAAAAAATACTGTACTGTCAAAGATTATCTTTTTTTTATTCAGTTATATTAAGTTCCAGATTTATAGCAGCATGTAAAACGTCACTTCATGTACTTTTAGAAATATAAACGTTGCGTACCAATATGTTTAAAACAAACACAAATATCTAAATGCCAAATGTGACGCACATCACATGCACAGCAACATTTGAAGAAAAAACCAACAATCTTTGATGTTAGCACAATGTCCTAAAATGGTGTCACACACTGAGCCAAGGCAACGTTGTGAGAGCGAGGATTGTTTATACTTTTAATGGCTTATTTTCTTCTTAACGGTGAGAATTCTAGCCTCGCCGGCATTAATATAACACTTACTCATTAAGCATGTAAGAAAAAAACATGCAGCAACTTACCTAAACACAAGCAGAAGACGGCTGTCACCAAACCGTAGTCCATGTTCGAGCTGATTGAGCTTCAGCGGCCAAAACTCGCGTCTCTCTCTCTCTCTGCTGCCTCTCGCGCCGTCACTTAGTGAAGACGGTGCAGTCAATCCTTTTCTTTCTTTAAAACATTTTTTTTAATCCCCTTTCAGACTGGCTGGTCAAACTCCCGCTCCACCCTCCGTGTGGCTTCCCGTCTGAAAGTTTAAGGAAGCCTGGCTTCCTTTTCCCCAAACACGGCGTGCTCTCGTGCGGCACCATTGTTTGACGGCACGGCTGAGTTTGTCTGCTGACAATGCAGCCCAGAGGAATCCCACAGGGAGCGCGCACGGGTTAGTCACGCACTCTGGTCACGCACTCGCAAGCCGTGCAAGCTAGCTCCGAGCACACTTGCTCGTTTGGTTTTCAAGGAGTTTTGTGAATTCTTGAATATAGTTGCATTCTGCACCAATAGATAGTGTCGTCAGCCAGGCCTCCTTAACGATTTGGCTTTGGAATGTTTAAAAGCCCCCCCACCCACACACCACATCATACTTCTTTGTTTATCATAGAACATTGTGTTTTCCACGTTCATTTAAAATATTCATATTATTCGTTTGCAGTAGTATATATGTTCGATATCTTATCGACCATCATTCTCGACATAATGAAATCATGCAAATGAAACATTTAGTGTGTGTGATGTAATTCTTGAATAATTATTATGTGAACACTATCGGAGATAGAGAACGACTCAGAGGCACGAGGCGGGAGAGGCGTTTCGGCAGTGAGTCGTAGCTACATTTCCCCCAAGCTCTCTGTGGTCCTGTATATATTAAGATGTTTTCAGCCAATTAACGAGTGTTTTTTTGTTTGTTATAAAATTCGATTAAATTGTTGCTGGATAAAACACTTACAATATGTAATACTGTTCACCAACAAATGTGCATCTTTAAAACACACGTGGAAAACGAATATGATGGCACCGTGGTTAGCCCACTGCACTTTTAACCCGTCAAGACCTCAGGTTGATTCCTGGCCACAGCTAACATCAGTGGTGAGTGATATCTCTGAATTGTCATGAGCACCCCTTAACGAACCTGCGCTGACCAGTGTGATGAGTTTATGCTCAAACAACCATCGCAATATATGCAGTTGTGATGAGACCTTCACCCAACAGTGCCTTGTAAAGACTGTAAATTATGCAAGTTAACGCTGTCGTACTTGCACGGTAACTTTAAGAACAGGCAGCATATGAATACATCACAAATGACAACTTTTCAATCAGTTCTAAGAAATGCTGTACATTTAGTGGTTCGTGGAATCATAACACTGCAGTGATTCGAAGGCAAGGCAGAATGCTCGCGTGGACGTGAGTGTCTCGTTGTGCGATTGAACAATCGCGACCCTTTGACAACGCGTTGCCAGAGAGAACGTCTCAACGCGAACGTCGTGGTTGTTGGAGGGCGCGATTATATATTTATTTATACTCCCTTGTTTATTGATTTGAAGCGCTGATGCCGTACGCCTGATGACAAGTCGACGACTGAAAAACCAATTTCCCTGATTGGAGAGAGCTAAGAGCCACGGCTATAAATAGATGTCCTTGGTACTCGTCGCGAGAATTTGATGTTTATTCCACTTTTACTCATACCGTAGCAACGCCTTCTTAAAATAAATTGCAACTATATTACTAATGAATTGCTAATAAACAAATCCCCACGTTAACCTTCATACAACACATTTTTTTTAATTCACGTTTTACAGCACATGCTACAGTTCCAACAAACATACTGCCTGCCCCAAGTTACACGTCGCTTTCATTCTGAAGCACATGGTCTATTGGGGAATATCACACAGGGTTGGCCAGTCTTTTATTTTCTTGCAATAGAAAAGTATTTTCTTGTAATACACACAAGAGGAGTTGGGAGAGTGGAGTGGGGGGCGAACGTATGTTTTAAAGAAGCATATCAAATGAATTTGATGCAAAAGCTATTTTTGAAATGGTCTGCATTATTATTGCGTTGCATTACCAGACATCCCTGAGACGTGGTGCTTGTGAGCCTCTCAAACAGCACAACGCATGTTGGCATCATGCATGTACACGTGTGTGGAACTTCTTGCACGTAGCCAAACCGTGCTAATCGCAGGTGCGGCTTCAAGCGCTGACGTGAACTTTAATCTGATCGCGTAGCGAAATTTAACAAAAACAACTGCAGTGCAATACACAAACCCACTTCCACGCCAATTTGTTTATTTATTTACGTGTTACAGAATAGCGCTAAACGCGCATGATTTTAAAACAAATTCTCGCACGTTAATCGGGATTCAGCCAAACGAGTATACTTGTGCAATGAGACGACTGTGGAGGGTTTCTTTTTTATTTCGTAATACTTTAACGACAGGTTCACGGAGTAACATTAACTCTGACCGGCATAGCTTAGCCAACCATAACAGCGACGCACAACTAATTAGCTGGCTGACTATATAGTGACGACGGCGACGATGAAGAAACGGCAGCGATGACAGCCAGGACCGGAACCTCCACGACAGCCCCGAACCCCTGTTCGCCTCTTCCTTATAGCCACCCAGCGTGGCCAATCCCCGCCCTTGGCCACGCCCCTTTTCTCGAACTCTCCCGCGGGTTCCAGGAGCTTCCAGTTCGATCCCCTCTTTGACCTTTGGCCCAGTTATGCCCCCACTGCGTATCGTCCTATGCTGCACCCACACCCGTAGTTAACAACCATGGCCGCTAGATGGCATGCTGTCATTACACTTTTATGGACGACTACCTGGAAATACTGGGGGTTATAGGCTTTGGCTGCGAGATGGCAAGGTTACGGCTTTACAGAAAATGGACCACTTAGTCTATCTGTGTGGTGCTAAGATGTTATCTCCTGGTATGCAAGCATTTCCTCTGGGTTCACCACTTTCCTCCCACATGCCAAACACTAATTATTGGATTTGGCTAAACAGCCCCTATGCAGGACCTTGCTTAAATAACTCTTTGAAGCTTTCTATGGATCAATAAAGGGAATTATGTGTGCTGCTCTTATAAAATAAATAAGTAGATAAAACAAACTGTGGCCTGGAGTTATGTTGCAGCGGTTAACGCACTGCGTTATGAACCTGGCAACCAGAGTTCAATTCCTCGTCAGGGTTAACATCATTGGTGAGTGATATTTTGAAATCGGTCCAATCCACACTGACCAGCGTGGTGAAGTATGATCAAACAACCTCTACCACTGACATGGTGTGGGAGTGAAAACTTCATCCATGATTCGATTGAACAAAAGGGTTGTGAATAATTTACATTTTGGATACTTGCATTGAGATTATTTAGATGATTTTGCTGCGATAAATATCCAAATGATAAGACACTTTGTTGAGCTATCATTCGCTTCTGAAAAACAAGTTCATATCTCAGTGGGCTTTGCCTGCTAGGATGGGGATGTTTTAGTTTTGTTTGTATTCGTTTGGGTGATTTGTTGACCTTTCTTGTACTTCACACTACTATCACGTGTTTGTATTGTTTGTTATTGTAACGTTCTTACCCGCCCCTACTGGACATCTGTGAAAAAGAGCTTAACAGCTCATCGGATTTCTTTCCGGTATAAATATTCTGATTCCGATTCTGACGCTTGTTTGTAAAGGGGTTGGTGGTGGGGTGGGGGATCCTAAGATGAAAGTGATCTTTCTGAACCCAAGTGGATTGTGAATATAAACACCGCGATGGCCCTTTGGGTCCAAGTATTTGTCCGTAGGCTCACCCTATCACGATAGCAACGGGGGGGGGGGCCTTTGGTTTCCGCCACTTGACTGTTTTCCAAGCAGAAGGCATTTCCTGCACGGGCGCTTTGTGCAATGCAATCTAATTAAAATTATTTTCCGGCCATAAACAAAGGAATTATTCACTTCCGCTTGTAGTCGTGTGTTTAAAGCAACGCTCCTGCATTCAGTCGTTTTGTAGCATCGATGGGATTTGTTCAGCATTTTACAGATTCCGTCACTTCTGGGTTGCGATTTAAACGATACTGTGGCATGTGTCGGCTGGCTTACATCTTCAAAACATGAGGGAAGTTTCCATTTAGATTAGGCAAAAATGAGTTTAAAATATTAAAGAAGTCAGCCCATGATGCAATGTAGTTTAACAATTATTGTGAAAATGAATTTAAGAGTTTGAGAAATATGCTTAATAATACTGGTAGGAACCTCCTGGTTACACCAGCCCACAGGGGATTATTGTGCCCGTCCATCCGTCGTGCATCCAGAAATGGGAGGTGTGGGGCTGGGTGGAGAGGGGAGGGTGGGGAGGGGCTGGGTGGGGAGAGAGGAGCTGGGTGGAGAGGGTAGGGAGGGTGGGGAGGGTGGGGAGGGGCTGGGTGGGGGGTGGGAGGGGTGGGGCTGGGTGGGGAGGGGCTGGTCACCCCGTGGTGCCCTTATAAAACTCAACGTTTAACCTACTCACGCCGGCTTGTGCCCGCCCCCACAGTCGGGCATATTTGCGGAATACACCACGCCGCCGTTGACCCTGGCCATTGACCGAGCAACCCAACGTTCCTACCAGCTCCCTCCGCAGGAATGTGTTAAATTGCAATCACACCAATTATTAAGCCCTTTGTCAATCTACTGCTTAATGAAGAACCTCCCAATACATTTTCGGCGGTGGAGTTGGTTTTATTATACTTCCCCAAACATCAATCAGAATCTTTATTTATCCTGGAGAAATCCGAAGAGCAACAAAGCTCATTGTCACAGACGTTCAGTTGGGGTGGGGTCAGAACGTTACAATACAAAAAAACTATTGGAGTGGAAACAAAGCATAGGAAAGGTAAACAAATCACACGCAAAAAAGTATGTAAGTACATATCACAAAAGTATATCAATTCCTTATCGCAGACCAATTCAGACCTCATTGGTCACCCCGTACCCCTTAAAAATCTCAACGGTCATCCTACAAAGTCCCATTACAAGGGATAAACACAAACAAATAGACAAAAACAATGTTTTGCCCGGATTGAAACGGCTGTACGCCGTATGGATCTGCAAACTCAATTTCCCTATACAAGAATACGGGTAAACTGTATGGGTTGACAGCTATGGATGCATTTTGTGGGGGCAGCAGAATGCAGGACCGTATTATCCAATAGGCCACAATAGGCACTGTGCCTAGGGCCTACGAAAACTAAAGGGCCTACGAAAAAAATGTGACCAAGATGTATTCTTGAATAAACATATTTACATAGCGAGGATAGGCACAGTGTTTATACAAATAGGCAGCGTCGTGTTAATGTCAATCGTTTTTGTTTTCATAAGGTGGGAGAAATTAACAACGGAGATTAACTTTTTGAGATTTTTTTCATTTCAAAATGTAGCAATAACATCTTCAAATGGTGTTTTTCGCACAATCAAGCAAGTGGCAGCGGCGGTAGTAGTAACATGGGGCAGCCAGTACCAGCTGGAGAAAGTTATCACTCACAGAAGTGCCTAGGGCCTACAAGAACCTTCATCCAGCCCTGGCAGGTGGTGATGGGTGTGGTGGTGATGAACATGGGCTGGGGAAGAGATGGACTGATGCAGTACGGGAGGATGTGGAGCTGAGTGGACTTGCCCACGACTGGTACCAGCGGTGTCAAGATCGGCATCTGTGGAGGAGGTTCGTGAAAGACGCTGCTCCTGGGTAGTTGGAGGCAGTCGCCCTCCAGCAACTAGGGAGGGCAGAGAAAGCGATGCTCAGAACAACAAGCGGAGCGCCGGGCGGATAAAATGCAGCAAGTTGGCACAGTAGGGGGTACAACTGGTGGTACATCTACCGGTCATTAAGTCAGCTGACCCATGGCACCTGTTAGGTCTGTCCCGAGACCTTCTGTGAGCGAGCCTTTAAAAATAAATAGATTAATGCAAACTGACACACCTGATGATGACCGTTTGTGTTATGGTCGAAACGTCGTGAGAATTTGTATTGTTTTATATATATTTTATTATTTTATTGTTTCCCTTCAACGTGACTTTACCGAAAGAGCTAAGAATATGAATTACTGCAGTCACGAAAGCTTTAAATCAAAATTTAACCGCTTCTACGGGGAGGGTTTCCACATAACTTTAAGATCCTTCAACAAACTCCGGGATAAGAAGGCTCAGCTGATCGAGTCTCTCACGTTTCTGAAGAGATGCCGCAACTCTGGGGTAATACCAATCGCATTTACACTGACCTCTGCTGCTGTAACTTCTTCTAATGGAAACGAATTCTTTTCAAAACTAGCTTAGCTCTTATCTCAGAAAAAATCAGACTTATACGCACCGAACTAGATCAGTTAGACAAGACACTCTACAAATCACACTTATCAATGACGGCAACAAAGTCCACATCGGATTGGGAACATGTAGACAATATGACTGCCTCTTCAGCTGCTACTATGTCGACCAAATGTAAGGACAACCTGATTTCCAAATTGAACCTCCTCTTCAACAAAAGACCGGACCCACACACCAAAAAGTTAGACGTTAACAAAGTCGTAATTAATCGCAGTATCAGTTCTATTTCCGATGGTCTGAAATCCGTTTTAGCTAAAGGTCTAAACTTTGCAGTCACACCTAAACACATACCAGTTAATGATATAATTGCCCAAGTAGACGTTGCTCTCAGGGGCCTGGGTCACATCGCTGCAGACGTAGCAAGATCTGAAATCGCTGCAACTCTCAAAAACGCTAAGATGCCAGCTAGCAACCTCAGCAAAGATGAGCGTTTTGAATTTATCAATTAAAAAAGAGGGATGATATTGTAGTCCTCTCAGCTGACAAGGGCAATGCTACTGTCATCATGGATAAAATAGAATACAACAACAAAATTAAAGAATTACTCGACGATGGTAGTTATACAAAAATAAAAATAGATCCCACCAACAGCCTCGTCACACAAACCAACAAAATAATGTCTGATTCAACCGCATTAATTCATCAATCTAAACAGTTTTCGTTGAAACCTTCTGCTGCCAGGCCACCAAGATTATACTGCTTACCAAAAATACATGAAGTAGTTACACCCCTTCGTCCCATTCTCTACTATCAACTCCCCCCACCTACAAACTGGCTCGTTTTTTGTCTGAAATCCTGCGTCCTTTCACTGGAAAAACCACCTCTGCGGTACAAAATTCTACTCACCTGGTATCGACAATCAAGGGTATTTCCCTGTCCCCAGACGACCTGCTTGTCAGTTTTGATGTAGTTTCCTTATTCACCAAGGTTCCTGTACCTGACACCATCACAATCATTGAAGACTTGGATCATCAAGGACTAAACACTGAGGTACCCCCCCTGGTGAGACACTGTTTAACCAATACATACTTCACTTGGAATGGAACTTTCTACAAACAAACTGAGGGCACCCCAATGGGCTCCCCCCTATCTCCGGTTATAGCTAACATTTTCATGGAGAAATTTGAGACTGACGCCATCCAGACTACCACTCTGCGCCCAACCTTATGGAAGAGGTACGTGGATGATACTTTTGTCATCTGGCCACATGGCCGGCCTGCTCTAGACCAATTCTTCGACCACATCAATTCCGTACACCCAGCCATCAGATTTACCATGGAAGTTGAAAAAGATGGCAAGCTACCTTTTTTGGATGTCCTAATAAAAAAGAGACCTGATGGTTCAATGAGCCACTCTGTCTACAGGAAAGCTACCCATACGGATGCTTATCTGAAACTGGATTCTCACCACCATCCATCACAGAAGAATTCTCTCATCAAAACTCTGTATCATAGAGCCCAATGCATATCCGACCAGGAACACATAGGCAGTGAACTCAAGCATGTACACCAAGCTCTTAAGGCTAATGGTTACTCCAACTATACAATCCGCAAAGCTATCACTCAAACCATGAAGAAGGACCCTCTTGAGGAGCCTTTCAAAACCATCACTTTACCCTACATTGCGGGGATTACAAAAAAGATCTCCAAAATCTTGAATAAACACAAGATCCAGGTCCGTTTCAACACATTACATAAAACCCGTGATCTGGTTCCGTCTGTAAAATATGTGATTCCGGACATACAGTACCCTGGTGTCTACAAACTAAGTTGCCTCTGTGGTAGTAGTTACATTGGAGAAACCAAACGCCATGTCTCGGACCGCATTCGTGAACACAAAGCAGACCTTAAACACGGTAGGACCAACACCTCGGCCGTGGCAGATCATTGTTATAATTCAGTAGGCTCACATGACATTGACTTTTCCAAGACAGAGGTTCTTTGTAAGCCATCTGGCTACCATGAGAGATTCGTTCATGAGGCTATCCACATATACAAGCACAGAGACAATTTCAACCGAGAAGATGGATTCTGGCTTAGCAATCATTGGAAAGATTGGATAAACCATTTCAGGTATTAATTGATTGTTCACGCTTACAGTGGCTTTCAGACAGCATACATCAATTTTTCGTCTCCCCCCTCCTCTTTTCAGAACATAGATGGACTAGTCCTTCTAAATAAACTGCCAAATCGCTGCGCATGGCGCTGACGTTTTTTTTAAATTATAAATAAAGACACCGTTTGAAAATAAATAAATTAATGCAAACTGACACACCTGATGACGACCGTTTGTGTTATGGTCGAAACGTCGTGATAATTTTTATTGTTTTATATATATTTTATTATTTTATTGTTTCCCTTCAACGTGACTTTACCGAAAGAGCTAAGAATATGAATACTTCACGTGGCCTCAAAGTGCACCTGACCTGGCACAGGCGCCGCGGTGATGCCACCATCACTTCGAGGCAAATGGCCGGGTATTTGCATTGGTGGTAGCAAAGGATCTGCATTTCTGATCCCGCGCGTACTACGGACGTTGAGCCTCATGTCGGAAATTCGGCCACTCCACTTCCTTGTTGCTATGTTCTTTGGATCTTTCGGTAAAGTCACGTCGATAGGTTCAAAGAAAATGACAAGAAACTACGACGTTTCGATTGCAACACAAGCGTTCGTCACGTCACCTCTCTCCGAGCGTGCTCTTCTTGCTTGCTTGCTCGCTTTTCGTACGGCTGCCGATGTAGATCCAGAGCATCAGCTACGATTTCGCATTCAGGTGGTCAAGCTCAAGATAACCGCTTCACGAGAGAGCAGAGTAGTTAGTGGTGTATCGTCGCTGCGATGTCTCCTTCCGTGTTTGTGGTGTCGGATGGCACTGGTGTCGTTGCACGTTGTTACGACCTTAGCTCTGGATGACCACAGACGCACCACTACTGGGGAGTTTTTCATTTTCCATTTTTTGTGCATCAGGTATTCGCATCTGCTGCCACGGCTTGTGCGGTGGATGCTGTTTAGGGTGGACCGCGAGCTTCGTGGAAGATCAAAACCCAGAGGGAACTTTCTGCTTTGGGTCTTTCACAAGGTCTTTGTTTGCGAGTTCTTCTGAAATCCATTCAGTTATCCAAGATTCAGCCGGGCCTCTCTCCAAGCCTGGTGACGTCGCCTCCCCCCGAGCATTGTGACATCACAACTCTCTACGAGCGTGGTGACGTCACCTCTCCCAGTACGTGGTGATGTCACATCTCCCAGACAGTGGCGGCGTTACTCCCCCCCACCCCGAGCGTGGTGACATCACCTCTCCCCGAGCGTGCTGACGTCACTTCTCCCCGAGCGTGGTGGCGTCACCGTCTCCTCCCCCCCCCCGCCGAGCGTGGTGACGTCATCTCTCCCCAAGCGTGATGACGACACCAATCCTCGAACGTGGCGACACCACTGCGATTCCGTTGCGCGGTGACGTCACGCTCGCAGAAGATGGCGTCCCTGCTGCAGCCCGAGCTAGTCGTGTACCTGGTGGACGGCGTGAAGAGGATCAGGGCGCCGCTCTCGCAGCTCTACTTCTGCCGCCACTGCTACGAGCTCAGGTCGCTGGAATGCGTCTCCCACGAGGTAAGCCGAGGACTCGCAGCCGTTGTCATCATTGTTTACATTCCCGACTCCCCTCCCCCTCCCGGCCTACAAGGTCCTACCGGATAAGGCGCCTCCCGGCCCGCGGACTGCGCTAGGCGATACCGGTGACGCCCACCGGGGTCGTTTATTTGTATTTTAATTGATGTTAGTGTACTACTCTAGTGATACGTAGTTTGTATTGTAACTGAGTGGTTACATATTACGATTTGGCGGTGACAGCAGTAGCATGCGTTGTTAGACGATACAATGTAATGTGGTTTTAGAACGCGCGCGCCTCAGCGATTCTCACACGTTCGCATCTCGAGGCTTGGAAAAGTGGAGCGGTTTACTTTTAAATATCCGTTCTCTTTTTGTTCACAAACTGCAGATTTATTCTACAGGGCAGACGGGGAAATGTACGGATGAATCGACTACTCTTTGTGTATCCTATGCCATGTCGTAAGAGTGTCGTGACAGGCCCAGTCGTGAACGTCATTCAGTGCTCCTATTCTCTCATGTGGGGAGCGGTGGTGCAGCGGTTAGCGCTACGCTGCGCTACAAACCCGGCGACCCGAGTTCGATTCCTGCTCACGGCCAACACCGGTGACGATTATCTGAACCGGTCCTGGGCCTCCTTGAGGTCGACTCAGCCTCAAATGAGTACCTGGTGTGGTGTGTAAACATAGTTCCATTTAGTTCCATTTATTTAGTATAGCCCTGTGAGCCATTAGGCTCTTAAAACATGAACAAGAAAACATCTTAAAGTGACTATGTGACTGCGCAAACAGAAAATCCAGAAAAAAACATCAAAATATTCCTGAAATAGCACCGTACACCAACGCTGTGTGATAAAAATCCCAGTGGGATACAAGTCAAACAACAACAACCACAAGACAACTAAGATTAAGGCCATCAGTCTAACTCCGTACTACATTAAACAAGAACATGTCCAAACCAAAAAACGTTTTAGAAATCCCCAAAATAAAAGCCATAAATGCAATGTAACAGTGATCATTGGGACTGTGACCGAATTTTTAACAATAAACTACATAAATAACATGTAACACCAAACCCTAGAGCCATAGCTGGCTGCATGAGTCACTCCACAACAACAGGGGAGACAAAGGTGGCCGGGCATGGTGCTGCTGGCCACCCACCCCCTCGTGTGCCGTGCCGGCCTTCATAGGAACTCGATAACAGCACTTGTCCCAACAGTCTGTTAAGGCTATATGGGGGATCTTTGTAGTTTCTTATTTGCACATTAATTCACCTAATTCTCTGCCGCTAGTTCTTGGGAAACCGTGGCACAGATGGAAAATGCTCTACAACTGCCTTTTGACAGCCTTTCGTGATTGTGTTTTTTTACAGACTATTATGTGCTCAAAAGTGTGGAATCTGCGTACTCCTGATAAGAGTTGTAACACTCAGTGAAGCATAGATAGATGACATGTCCCACCATGTATTGAATAAAATGATTTGATGTAATTGACACACCATTTACAGCATTGACGTTTACGCTATTGTCTGGAAGGGTAGTATTTGCATTATCATTTTCACAAAAGGTTAAACCTTTACCACGTTCTTTGTGGAATTGTATAGAATTGTATAAATGTAGTAAATGTAAACTAACAAAAGATTGCTTGCGTTTCAACATTCCGGTTTTTTTACAAAAATTCTAATCAATTCACATATTTGCCCACATGACAACTTGAGTTGGTTGGCTCTGTTGGGTGGCAGAGGGTATAGCTGAAAATTGGCATTATACATACATGATCTAACCTAAAATCATCTAGTTGTAAATCAGAATATTGGTCGTAAAAGCTTACATATAAAATGAGACATTGTTATTTATGCCACAATGTGCAGTCTCGTATGGTAATTTAATTTCGACAGAAAGCAATGGGTCATTTTGTTAGAATATTGTACAAAAAAGTGTTTGTGTTTGTCGTTTTGTTGCTTTCTATAGGTGGACTCTCATTATTGTCCGAGCTGTTTGGAAAACATGCCTTCAGCTGAAGCCAAGCTAAAAAAGAACAGGTGCTGCAACACATGGTTTTCTTGCGTTTGAAATTACTTGTGTAATTAACTCGGCGTCTGATCTGAATGTCTTGTAATCGCAACAATCTGTCGCGTTAAAGCTGTATATTAACATTAAATGTCCCAAGAAACGTCCAACTTCGACGAACAACTGTGATTCCCGGTTTTCACCATTTTCTAGGTGCGCCAACTGCTCAGACTGCCCGTGCTGCTCGCACACGCTGTCCACACGTGCCACCAACATTCCCGTGCCCAACGCGGATGATCCGGGAAAGATGGTCAGCAAGAAAGCTTACTACCTGGCGTGTGGCTTCTGCCACTGGACCTCGCGCGATGCTGCCATGCCAGACAAGGCTGTTGGTGTGTGGAGATGTACCTGCCCTCATTTACCTCTGGAAAAAAAATTTCAAAATGGAAATTTTTCTTAGAGCCCACTGGCATTTTTTTTTACCCATGCATTGTTTTCACATCACGTTTTTTTTAATTAGGGGTGGCTGTAATTTGATGGAATATTTTAAGTGTAGCTTATTTCTCCTTTATCATTGACTGAATCTTGGAATTGACAGCCGCAAGTGCGCATGCGTTTTTTTAAATGTTGACCAGTCATTTTCATTTTAACAATAGTAAAACAAGTGATTTATGCATGCATTTGTGTCAAAATGTAGACTTTAATTTCGAATTATACTTCCCGCAGGGTTATTTTCTTTTGTACCCAAAGAGTATGAGTTTCAGTTCTTAAAAATACATTTATTTTTATTACTTGACATCAAATTGGGAGGATTCTTAGGTGCGGCCTTCTTGGCTGTTTAGTTATGTTTTTTAATCTAATAACTACCAAGACTTACTGCATGCAATGGCTGTTTGCGTCACGAGGGGGCAGCAGTGATTGCTTATCCCTGAGAAGCGTGGATTTTTTGCAATCATCCTTCAATTAAAATATCATATTTTAATTCATGGACGTTACGTTACCAACAATTTTTCAAAGCCGAATTGTTCACATTCCACTGCTGTCGGTGTGGCATAAATGACACCTCTTTTGGCTAAATGACATTTATTACGTATCTTTTTTCTCATGCCGTGTCATAAATGCATTTATTTAAAAACATAAGGTACTTTTGTGAGAAGCATAAAAGTTTTGAAATTATACCTAAATCTTTATGTACTTTATCCTATTGATTTTAGAAACAAAAATCTTGAAAAATTTAACTTATTTGTACGTTAAAACTCTTAAGCCTGTCTCACCATTCTTTGTCCGTTTACAGCAAGCGGAGGTTGGCAGGAACCAGAAAACCCTCACGCACCAAGGGTAAAGTATCATATCTCTAATATTTAATTTGTTGACAGAAATGTACAGTGGTATAAATCCCACCAAACACTTGGAGCACAGTTGCATGTAACGGTAGATGAACATGTATTTATTTTCTTTTATTGCATATTTGAGGTTGTTTATTTCCCCACCAGATTAACAAGCTGCTGGAGTATTACCGACATTTGGCTCAGAAGGAGAAGCTGGAGAGAGACCGCAAGAAGTTGGTGCGACGCCGCAACTATCTTCCCCTTGCTTTCTCTGTGAGTTAATATGCAAGATTATAAATATATGGTAGGTGTGCAATAGGCTGTGTGTGATGATCGTGTATTCTTCCAGGAAAACCTTACTGTCTGTTGCCTTTTTTTCAGAACAGTAATACAGTGGGATGTTTGGACAATTCATCTTTAATTGTGGTTTCTACATGGTAGAAAACTGGGTTAGATGATGGGTAGGGTTCAAGTCCACACATAGATGTTCATGAGCTCAATTGCTGTTACTGCCATATCCTGGCCATCTCACAGCCCATCAGCTATGACAGTTTCACAAAGCTACATCATACACTGCACCTTGCCTCCAAAGTGCTAAATTACAGATGTGTGCCACCATTGCCAGCTCAAAATTATATTGTAATAAAGCCTTTAATGGGGTTAACCATTTATATTGTGTTGCTATAGCAAGACTTGTTTTACTTTACCTCCCTGCACAAAGTCATCGATTTTAACCCAGGTAATGTGGCATTGGAAGTGAAATATGGTTGTATACTGTCTGTGTATCCCATCTGATTCATTTGTCAACTTTTCCAACTGCTAAATTATTATCAGTGGGCATGTCATGTAGACCCACGCATACCCTGTTTACATAGGCAACTAAATGCATATACCTAATTTGATGTATTTTACAAAATATAATTGTACAATATACAAGTATATATTGTGAGTGCAATTAAATTGTGAGTGCAATTATACAGTACGAGAGATAGTGTATAAATCTTGCATGTTTATCACGTAAATACTTGTTGCAAACCTCATGTATTTTATTTAGGTTTGTTTGATGTGTGCCTCACATGGGTAAAAAGGCCGTACTGTAAGCAATGGTGGGCTCCAGCGTTTCAAACAAAATTCCCTTTTTTATGCACATGGGACTTGCAGATGCATTCTATGCACAGTGTGGTGAGTACCAAGTTTAACACAAGTGTCTCTTTACTAATATCTCATTATTTCTTACCAAGTCTTTAGACTATTGCATGGACTCAAGTGCTGCTTAACCCTTAACATTTTAATAACATTTTGGCACTTTGATACACATCGCATGTGGCAATGGAATCTTAACAACCCGCACCATAAACACCTCGATATAATGCTTTACAGAAACATGCTTTCAAATAAATTTGTATTAAAGTGTTAAGTCTTGAACTTTTGTTATTTACCACTAATTCGATTTTTTTTTCTATAGGAAAAGTATGGGTTGGCGGCAAAGCTGAAAAAACAAGGAAGCATTAACCCTCAATCAGGAATAGCTGGGCTCATGTAAGTAGCCATTTTTCTGCTGCCCATTCCAATTTTCCCGATTCTTACGTCTCGCCAATTTTCGCGTTCTACTTTTTGTTAAAGAACGTATTAACTCACAATATTTTGTGGTTAGGCTTAAGGAAGGAGACGACCAAAAGGATATAAAAATTGAAGCGGCTGTTACTGTGGAGGAAATCGAACCTTTGCCGGAAGATTACTACACAGCGCCACTCAACCTTGTGGATGGTGAGTGTGAAGGCTATGGGACATGTAGCCTGTAAGAATTGATGACATTGTTCGAAATAAGCACGATTGATGCATTTCCAGTTTACGGACTCTTGTGAGTTTTGATTTTCATCTACAGAGTATTTTTCGGAAATGATTGAAGTGGTAGAACCTGATAAACAATTGTTCATCGTTTTGCTTTTCCTTTTTAAGAATTTGGGCGAAAGAGTATACGTGTTCAGCCTTTGTTTTTTTCCTGTAATGTTTAAGGGACCTTTTCCTTGCAGTGACAACCCTGCCACAGCGTCTGATGCAGCCAGAGTTTCAGCAGGACAGCACCTCTCAACTCCACCCTCGGCACAAGCACCTGCTTATCAAGCGCTCCCTCCGTTGTCGGGTGATTCCCTTTTTCTTATTTTCACCTCCTATGGCAAAAGTAAATGTAAGACGAGTGCTGAGGTCTTCAGCCTTCAGAATATGGTTATACCACCTCTCATTGTACAAATGTGGTTACTGCCTCCACATTATGTTTTATCCTCGCCAAATGAGCACACTAACCACTTGGCATTCTCTCATACTTACGCTGCAGAAGTGTGAACACAACCTGAGCAAGCCAGAGTTCAACCCCACCTCCGTTAAGTTTAAAATCCAGCTGGTGGCCATGTGAGTATTGAATGCAGCTCATATGCAAATAAAATGCATTGTCTTGTTTTATAGATGCCGTGTGTACTAGGCGAGAGCCCACTTAATTTGTATTGTCTTTATTTGTTGCAGGTTCTACGTGCCTGAAGTTCGCATCATGTCCTTACCCAAATTGCGCTGTGGAAAGGTATCTTTTTAGCTCGGTTAACACTGCACAGTAATAACATTGTTTGTGCAAAACACGGTTTCCGTACTTCCAGTCAATTATGTATTTGACAAATATCACTTGGGTGTGTATATAGTAAGGGGTAATAGCATGTATTGCCCTCACGAAGTGAACATAATTTTTGGAAATACTCAATACGGTAGCTTGCACAATGCATTTCACAGAGTTTACAAGTGAGCCTGGGCCAGGATACATCGTCACATGGAATTACGATGGATTGGCAGCCAAAGGAAGCAACATGCCTGAGAGGACTTCCACCATGTATATAGAGTAATGAAATTGGCTTGTATGCATGAGCTAGACAGAATGTTGCATCACAAAATCTTGAGAGATGGCGATGGCTTGGGGAGACCTTAATCCAATCGCAGATTGATCATGGACGATGATGATATTTCCCAATATGATACCGTGGACTGCGTTACTTACCTTAAGTCATTTCATTTCAGGAGAGCCAGGTGCTGCTGACGCTCACTAACCCCGTGGAGAACATCACTCACGTCACCCTCCTGTCCTGCCCCGAGGGGGACAAGTGTGACCTGTTCAGCACCGCCAAGGTACGTCCTTAACAAAACTCTGTGTCCGTTAGAATTGCTCGTGTTCGCTTGGTAACGCAGTCACATCCTCCGGTTGTACATGAATGGTTCACACAACATAAGAGCGTTAGTACGGAAACCTGTTTTATATACGTATCAATTCGAGCCAATGATTCGTTGCACATTCAGTTCTTTGTGTCACGATGAATACAACTTGGCGTAGGTGCTATTGTAAGCCTAGGCTGACTCGGTGCTTAGAATTTTTTAGTTTGGGGTCTGTTAATTGCCTCCTAACCAGGAATTATCATGTGGACAAGATAATGTCCTCAGTGGGTATTAAGACGAGAACATATTTTTTCATACACTACAAATATACATAAGCTGTGTGGGTACTAATCTGCAATTTATGTACATAGCTGGCTAATTATACATTTGAATGTGTCCAGAAATTATGATCTATATTACATTTAACAAATTGGTTTCGTTTTATCACAGTAACAACCTTATTTGATGGGTATATAATTATTCACCCCTTGGACAATCCAATTAATTGTCATTATTTTAGCTCGGTTGCTTTTTTTGTTATTGTGTTGCGTGTAAAAATGGATTGTGGTTGCCACATTTCATTCAACCTGAATTTGTTGTTGTTGTTGAACCAACCACATGCGTCTCAATTTTTTTTGATCTTGGTTGCAAATGCAGCGAATTTATCTTGAGAAAACGAGTTTTCATTTTAATTTAGAAATCAATAAGCCATTGCGTGACTAATTGTCCAAACAAATAGGTGTACGTTTCACGACCGTCTGTGATGTGCGCGAGCTAGCTTCCATGCGGGGCGTGGGGGGGTGGGTTACAGAGCTGTCTTTTGCGTTTCCAGGCGACGCTTCCCCAGGGGGAGCTGGTGCTGTCCCCTCGCGACGCCGCTGCAGAGTACGATGACCTCGCCGACCCGCAGGATTTTAAAGACGACCCCGAGTAGGTGCCCAGTGCCAGTCGGTTTTAATGTGATTCACTTACTCATTTTCTGCAACTAAAGGATGGAATATTGCTTGCTTGTGTCATTATATCTGAGATACTTGTTGCATCATCGTTGGTCTCTGCGTTAGCGTACCACCTGTGTTGATTGGTAGACAATATCGTTTTTTTGGTCTGAACTTCCTGCCTTTGGTCGCTCCAATCGTCTTTTACATTTTCCCTGCAACACACCACCTTTTCTCTCCGTATTTCACATTCTTTCCACCTTGTGTGTACACATCACTACATTGTATATGTGCATATATATGTATATTTGAGCGTATGGTTTAACACGAGCGTTATGATTTAACACGAGCGTTGTGTAAATGCACACGTGTTGTGGATGTGCACTTGTACATTTATGGGCTATACAGTGAGGGAAAAAAAGTATTTGATCCCCTGATAATTTTGTACGTTTGCCCACTGACAAAGAAATGATCAGTCTATAATTTTAATGATAGGTTTATTTGAACAGTGAGAGACAGAATAACAACAAAAAAATCCAGAAAAACGCATGTCAAAAATGTTATAAATTGATTTGCATTTTAATGAGGGAAATACGTATTTCACCGACTCTCAATCAGAAAGATTTCTGGCTCCCAGGTGTCTTTTATACAGGTAACGAGCTGAGATTAGGAGCACACTCTTAAAGGAAGTGCTCCTAATCTCAGCTTGTTACCTGTATAAAAGACCTGTCCACAGATGCAATCAATCGGATTCCAAACTCTCCACCATGGCCAAGACCAAAGAGCTCTCCAAGGATGTCAGGGACAAGATTGTAGACCTACACAAGGCTGGAATGGGCTACAAGACCATTGCCAAGCAGCTTGGTGAGAAGGTGACAACAGTTGGTGCGATTATTCGCAAATGGAAGAAACACAAAAGAACTGTCAATCTCCCTCGGCCTGGGGCTCCATGCAAGATCTCACCTCGTGGAGTTGCAATGATCATGAAAACGGTGAGGAATCAGCCCAGAATTACACGGGAGGATCTTGTCAATGATCTCAAGGCAGCTGGGACCATAGTCACCAAGTAAACAATTGGTAACACACTACGCCGTGAAGGACTGAAATCCTGCAGCACCCGCAAGTTCCCCCTGCTCAAGAAAGCACATATACATGCCCGTCTGAAGTTTGGCAATGAACATCTGAATGATTCAGAGGACAACTGGGTGAAAGTGTTGTGGTCAGATGAGAACAAAATGGAGCTCTATGGCATCAACTCAACTCGCCGTGTTTGGAGGAGGAGGAATGTTGCCTATGACCCCAAGAACACCATCCATGGAGGTGGAAACATTATGCTTTGGGGGTGTTTTTCTGCAAAGGGGACAGGACAACTTCACCGCATCAAAGGGACGATGGACGGGGCCATGTACCGTCAAATCTTTGGTGAGAACCTCCTTCCCTCAGCCAGGGCATTGAACATGGGTCGTGGATGGGTATTCCAGCATGACAATGACCCAAAACACACGGCCAAGGCAACAAAGGAGTGGCTCAAGAAGAATCACATTAAGGTCCTGGAGTGGCCTAGCCAGTCTCCAGACCATAATCCCATAGAAAATCTGTGGAGGGAGCTGAAGGTTCGAGTTTCCAAACGTCACCCTTGAAACCGTAATGACTTGGAGAAGATCTGCAAAGAGGAGTGGGACAAAATCCCTCCTGAGATGTGTGCAAACCTGGTGGCCAACTACACAAAACGTCTGACCTCTGTGATTGCCAACAAGGGTTTTGCCACCAAGTACTAAGTCATGTTTTGCAGAGGGGTCAAATACTTATTTCCCTCATTAAAATGCAAATCAATTTATATCATTTTTGACATGCTTTTTTCTGGATTTTTTGTTGTTATTGTCTCTCACTCTTCAAATAAACCTACCATTAAAATGATAGACTGATCATTTCTCTGTCAGTGGGCAAACGTACAAAATCAGCAGGGGATCAAATACTTTTTTCCCTCGCTGTACTGCATGTCAGTATGTTATAAATGTGAATTCTTTATGCATAAGTCACAGCAGACCATGTTTAAAATGCTTAAGATCCTAAGAGTATCGGGTGAAATATCCCAAGCCATCCAGAATAGTTTCCTTGTTTTCTCAAACATCTAATTTTTAGTATATATATAAAAAGACAAAGATCCCCCTTGTATACCTTGAACAGGCTGTTATAGGAAAGTGCTGTTAGCGAGCAGCACCTACGAAAGTGGCACGGCACACGAGCGGGTGGGTGGCCAACACCACGCCTGGCCACCTTTGTCTCCCCCAGTGGCGATGTTTACACACCGCATCAGGTTATTCATTTGAGGCATAGTCGACCTTTGGGGAGGCCCATGACCGGTTCAGATAATCATCACTGATGTTGGCTGTGAGCCAGAATCGAACCCGGGTGGCCAGGTTCGTAGCGCGCTACCCACTACACTACCGCTCCCCACACACACACACACGTGCGTTTTCTTTTGATCATGCGTGGCCACCTGACCCTCCCCGACCCACAGCGTGGTGGTGTTCCGCAAGGCCAACAAGCTGGGCCTGTTTGTGCGCGTCACGCCGCTGTTCGAGAGCGGCGACGTGCGCGTCGCCTTCAAGCTCCGCCACGACTTCCGCAACCCGGCGCCCACGCTGCTCAAGCCAGTGGAGGGCGAAGTGGAGCGCGCCAGTGAGCCCGTGTGGCTCACACACCACGTGGAGCTCAACCTGGGACCACTTGCTCAGCCGTGATCCCTGTCGCGCCCATCCCCGGAGCTGGACCATGTGTTCCAGAATCTTTGCCCATGCGGCCGGCTTGCTTCCTCCGGCGACTTGGCAGTCGAGTTCGGAGCTCTTCTAGCACTGGTTATAAATGTTTGAGGAGTCTAGCATCAGCAGCAGATGCCTCCCCACCAACCTTGAAAAGTTGTGGTGACAATTTGGTGCAAAAGCAGCTTTTGAGACGCACCTTGATAAGTACGACACGAATAGTTATCCAGAAAGCAGCATTGGTGAGCTGAGAGTCTCATTTAGGCAAGGTGTTTTTAAATCTTGCGGGGTTGGTCAATCGATTATTTGACGAGTTTTCCTTGTTTGGAGTTTATGGAGCAGCATTTTGAAAGTGCAACACCTTGTTTTAAGTCAGCAGACCTTAGCAGAATGACAAATTTCTGTAAACATTTAATTATAATTGTTTATTGTGGGCAAAGACAGCATGGTGGAATACCATTTGTTTAGGTGTTAAACAGTGTAATGTTTACCTAATTTATGTTGTGCAAAACAAAATAGTTTTTTTTAAGTTTGGATCATGCACTTCATTTGCAATTTATTAGCATATTATGCGGTTCCTTTTACATCCCTGTTTGCTAATCGCTGCTATATACAGTGACTGTTGAAGATATTTTTTGTGACAATGTACTAGAGTAGGCCAGCGCATGCCTTGTCTTTCCCAAGTAATGACAACTCAAAATGACCCTCCTCATGTTAACAATTGCGATCTATATTTCACCACAGTTATGATTTCTCTTCACATATTACACGGTTTATAAACTTGTAAATTAAGAAGATATTGCACCGACCTAGAACATCCCGCGTTACACATTTTGATTAGCCAATAATTATGCTGGGTAGTAAGCGGTGAAGATCGGTTTCGAAGAGAACTGTAAATGATGGAAAAGCGATGCATTGTACCTTTGGTTATTATGCTGTAACTTTAATAACGGATCAATGCTTGCTATTAAAACTTCAACCACACCATAAATGCCCACAAAACATAAGCTATTTAATGAGGCACTTAATAACATGCGTAAGCCTCTGATTATATATGAAGCAGCAGTACTAAAATGTACTTATGTAAAACAGTTGAATGTAAATGTCCCCAATGGATTGAGTTCACGCAAAAAGAAAGCATAATTTAGGCATTAAAATAAAGTTGAGCATTATGTAAGTGCGAGCACTGAGCAGTGTACACCAAAGCATGGATGCAGTGAGCTCAGTGCACAGCGGGACGTCAATGCGGTTTTGTTTCAAATGCATAATAAAAGCATGCTCTCAACAGTTGTGATTTTGAAGTCTTGAAATAGTGTTGCAGTGGCAAACAAGAGGATGAGTTAAGAAAAACCTCGTTTTCCAGGGACAGCCCCCTCGATTTTGGCGTGCTCATTCGAGTTGAAGGTCAACTTGAGTTGGCCGACATGTGGCGTTAATACGATTTCCCAAATTTCTCAAGTAATGCCAATTCCGAGCTAAAGATTAACACTACATTGCAGGCAAAATTAAATGTTAAATCTAAAATGAGAGGTTCGCATCTATGAAATCTTTGGTATGTTTTGTGGAGTAGATTTTTTTGACCTGAATTATGGGAATTTAAGCCAGGCTGTGAAGTATTTTTGTCCAAATCGCAATCAGCTCGAGTTGACTAATAAAAGGTTTGAGCATGTCGTGGCGGATGAACGAATAGAGGCCACCCTCGTTCTGGGCTTCCTGGAAAAGTGGCACAACAGTTTTTCGAAAAGTTATTAATTCCATCTATACAAACATTAAATATATCTATGTTGGCATCGATCTAATTTTAAAAAGGGGATATACATGGGTTTAACGTTCATTGTATGTATTGCTGGACACCCCTTATAAAAAGGGGGACTTTTCAGCATTGAGTTTGGGGCCGTTCATAAATGACGTCACGCTATTTTTGACCCCCCTCGTCACACTGCGTCACAAAGTCAGACCCCCCCCTCAAATATGACGTCACAAAGCTCTGCCCCCCCCCAAACCATATTTCCATTTTGAAAATGAAACATGCTTCAAATCGCTTTAAACTATTGTCATTGTAGTGCGTATTTAATGTGGCGCTGCACTCTGATGTTTTTCGTTATAACAATTAGTGTTGTTATAACAATTCTATATTTATTTAAAGTTGCGCATTTTGATGTGACGTCACATCTCTCAAACCCCCCCCGTCACACACCGTCACAAATGTCTGACCCCTCCCCAGGTGCGTGACGTCATTTATGGACGACCCCTTTAGTGTTTTGGCCTCGACTGACGCTTATAGGGTTATAAGTTTTAGCCCTTTTTTTTAATACACTGCTGGATGATTCATGTCGTCGACCGTGTGGAGCTTGTTGATGTTTAATCTTAATTTGTTGATGTTTGACCACGGAGGGCCAGTGTCAGTTGGTGAAGTCAGAAGGCCCAGGGCCGACTAGGAAGAATATCACTAGCCACTGGTGTTATAGCCATGGCAGAAAATCGAACTCGGGTCACGTGGGTTAATGGGCAGTGCACTCGCAACTGCCACCGCTTCATCCCTTTTGGATTTAGCTTCTGTCTAACTTTTATTAACAGCTTGAACAATATTAACTTGTGTATGTGCTTGTCTATGTGTTCCTCTTCTGTGTCCGTGGAATTACAAGCATGCATCTACCCACGCATCGTTGCGCACTTAATTGGTGATATATCGATAACGACCGTGTTTCTGAGTGAACCATATGTCCCTATCAGGAAGCACGCGCTGATTAAAAACACTTGTTTCTTTAGGCACTTTGGTGCGTTTACTTTTCATCATTGTCACGTTTATCTTTCCTAAAGCACGCCCGACTCCTCTGCCTCTTAATTTTCATCGTTTTGGTGCCGGTCCATCTTCAATATCTGTACCAGGAAAACAAAAAGACACTCACTCTTCTGTGTTTTCCAGTTGTGTCCCTACGGAAGATACCTCGAATTGTTTTACGTAACGTGTGTGGGCCATAGAATAGAATTGATACATATTTTTATTAGTTAATCATTGGCGGGGGGGGGGGGGTTAACTGTCGTTCATATCCCGGCCACCCCCTCTCACCGTTTATGCTGTTCCGGCATCGCTCCTCCCAAATATTCCAGCTACCCAGGGTACTTAGTATTCACACACGTGCCTAGGGACATGTGATTCTAGCTACCCAGGGTACACACTATTCACACACGTGCCTGGGGACATGTGATTTTAGCTACCCAGTGTACTTACTATTCACACACGTGCCTGGGGACATGGGATTCTAGCTACCCAGTGTACTTACTATTCACGCACGTGCCTATGGACATGGGATTTTAGCTACCTAGTGTACTTACTATTCACACACATGCCTGGGGACATGTGATTTTAGCTACCCAGTTTGCTTACTATTCACACACTTTCCTAGGGGCATGGGATTCTAGCTACCCAGGGTACTTACTATTCACACACGTGCCTATGGACATGGGATTCTAGCTACCTAGTGTACTTACTATTCACACACATGCCTGGGGACATGTGATTTTAGCTACCCAGGGTGCTTACTATTCACACACGTGCCTAGGGACATGTGATTCTAGTTACCCAGGGTACACACTATTCACATACGTGCCTAGGGACATGTGATTCTAGCTACCCAGTATACTGACTATTCACACACGTGCCTAGGGGCATGGGATTCTAGCTACCCAGTGTACTTACTATTCACACACGTGCCTAGGGACATGGGATTCTAGCTACCTAGTGTACTTACTATTCACACACGTGCCTGGGGACATGTGATTTTAGCTACCCAGTGTACTTACTATTCTAACACGTGCCTACGGACATGGGATTCTAGCTACCCAGTGTACTTACTATTCACACGTGCCTAGGCACATGTGATTCTAGCTACCCAGTGTACTTACTATTCACACACGTGCATAGGGACATGGGATTCTAGCTACCCAGGGTACTTACCATTCACACACGTGCCTAGGGACATGTGATTCTAGCTACCCAGGCTACTTACTATTCACACACGTGCCTAGGGACATGGGATTCTAGCTACCCAGTGTACTTACTATTCACACACGTGCATAGGGACATGCGATTCTAGCTACCCAGGGTACTTACTATTCATGCACCTGCCTAGGGACATGTGATTTTAGCTACCCAGGGTACTTACTATTCACACACGTGCCTAGGGACATGTGATTCTAGCTACCCAGGGTACTTACTATTCATGCACCTGCCTAGGGATATGGGATTCTAGCTACCCAGTGTACTTACTATTCACACACGTGCCTAGGGACATGGGATTCTAGCTACCCAGGGTACACACTATTCACACACGTGCCGAGGTAGATGTGATTCTAGCTACCCAGTGTACTTACTATTCACACACGTGCCTAGGGACATGGGATTCTAGCTACCCAGTGTACTTACTATTCACACACGTGCCTAGGGACATGGGATTCTAGCTACCCAGTGTACTTACTATTCACACACGTGCCTAGGGGCATGGGATTCTAGCTACCCAGGGTACTTACTATTCACACACGTGCCTAGGGGCATGGGATTCGAGTTACCAGGGTATTCACTATTCACACACGTGCCTAGGGACATGGGATTCTAGCTACCCAGGGTACTTACTATTCACACACGTGCCTAGGGACATGGGATTCTAGCTACCCAGGGTACACACTATTCACACACGTGCCTAGGGACATGGGATTCTAGCTACCCAGTGTACTTACTATTCACACACGTGCCGAGGTAGATGTAATTCTAGCTACCCAGGGTACTTACTATTCACACACGTGCATAGGGACATGGGATTCGAGTTACCAGGGTATTCACTATTCACACACGTGCCTAGGGACATGGTATTCTAGCTACCCAGGGTACTTACTATTCACACACGTGTCTAGGGACATGTGATTCTAGCTACCCAGTGTACTTACTATTCACACACGTGTCTAGGGACATGGGATTCTAGCTACCCAGTGTACTTACTATTCACACACGTGCCTAGGGGCATGGGATTCTAGCTACCCAGTGTACTTACTATTCACACACGTGCCTAGGGGCATGGGATTCGAGTTACCAGGGTATTCACTATTCACACACGTGCCTAGGGACATGGGATTCTAGCTACCCAGGGTACTTACTATTCACACACGTGCCTAGGGACATGGGATTCTAGCTACCCAGGGTACACACTATTCACACACGTGCCTAGGGACATGGGATTCTAGCTACCCAGTGTACTTACTATTCACACACGTGCCGAGGTAGATGTAATTCTAGCTACCCAGGGTACTTACTATTCACACACGTGCATAGGGACATGGGATTCGAGTTACCAGGGTATTCACTATTCACACACGTGCCTAGGGACATGGTATTCTAGCTACCCAGGGTACTTACTATTCACACACGTGTCTAGGGACATGTGATTCTAGCTACCCAGTGTACTTACTATTCACACACGTGTCTAGGGACATGGGATTCTAGCTACCCAGTGTGCTTACTATTCACACACGTGCCTAGGGACATGGAATTCGAGCTACCCAGGGTACTTACCATTCACACACGTGCCTGGGTACATGGGATTCGAGTTACCCAGGGTACTTACTATTCACACACGTGCATAGGGACGTGTGATTCTAGCTACCCAGGGTTCTTACTATTCACAAACGTGCCTAGGGACATGTGATTCTAGCTACCCAGTGTACTTACTATTCACACACGTGCCTAGGGACATGGGATTCTAGCTACCCAGTATACTTACTATTCACACACGTGCCTGGGGACATGGGATTCTAGCTACCCAGTGTGCTTACTATTCACACACGTGCCTAGGGACATGGGATTCTAGCTACCCAGTGTACTTACTATTCACACACGTGCCGAGGTAGATGCGATTCTAGCTACCCAGGGTACTTACTATTCACACACGTGCATAGGGACATGGGATTCGAGTTACCAGTGTACTTACTATTCACACACGTGCCTAGGGACATGGGATTCTAGCTACCAGTGTACTTACTATTCACACACGTGCCTTGGGACATGGGATTCTAGCTACTCAGGGTACTTACTATTCACACACGTGCATAGGGCCATGGGATTCTAGCTACCCAGTGTACTTACTATTCACACACGTGCCTAGGGACATGGGATTCTAGCTACTCAGGGTACTTACTATTCACACACGTGCATATGGCCATGTGATTCTAGCTACCCAGTGTACTTACTATTCACACACGTGCCTAGGGGCATGGGATTCTAGCTACCCAGTGTACTTACTATTCACACACGTGCCTGGGGACATGGGATTCTAGCTACCCATGGTTCTTACTATTCACACACGTGCCTAGGGACATGTGATTCTAGCTACCCAGTGTACTTACTATTCACACATGTGCCTAGGGACAGGGGATTCTAGCTACCCAGTGTACTTACTATTCACACACGTGCCTAGGGACATGTGATTATAGCTACCCAGGGTATTCACTATTCACACAACTGCCTAGGGACATGGGATTCTAGCTGCCCAGGGTACTTACTATTCACACACGTGCATAGGGACATGGGGGCTGCGCGGTATAGTGGCATTGTGGAGGATGCAACGGGCATCTCGCTTGGGCTCAATCTACAAGCCCTGTGTGTATATAATACATCTGACTGTGGTTGGGTTAATACTGCGGTGAATGAAACGGCCGCTAGTGGCTGTAGGGGGTCACGTTGCGGTCAGGAATCGATACGAAAGCAATTGGACGGTGAACCCGTTGAGCGTTGTCCCCTCGTTTGCGTGAGTTTTCTCCGGGTACTCTTCCAACGCACAAAAAAAACGCGTGGGTACCGTGCGTGTTGTGATAATAGCACGTTTGTGTACTCGGGTTGTGTTCTCATGTAAGTGTCAAAATGATGAGAGACGCAAGACGAGGGGTTTATTTCCCCCATGTTACGCAATTGCAGTGGCGTAACGGTCGCACCTAACCTGTACATCGGGGCTCTTGCATAGATCACAATCATTACCGCTCACGGTCTCGAACATTTAACGCTGTAGGTGGGACTCCTCCCTACTTGCAACATACAGCCACTACAGCTCTGCTTGTCTACCTGGCCGCACTATGGTAACAACATTAGAAACATACATGCAGTACGCAATTTGCAGGAGCCAAACGTTACTGCTCTAGATTAGAATAACATGAAATTGAACATAAAAATAAAATGTAACCGCCTTTAAATAAGTTTGTTCTTTTCCACCGTTGTTGAAAACATCTCTCGTGGTGGTTGTAAAAGGCCCCCCCCCCCCCAGCTCGTAGCTTTGGCCACCCGGGGGGGGGGAGGAGGAGGGGGGGCAAGACACCCCCTCTGTCCCTACGCTCGTTACGCGACCGCAAATGGAATGCAAATAATACTCCAAGGTTAAAACATTTCGGCCAAGAAAAAAAGAGTACGCGCGGTATGACAAACGGTGGAAGATGCTCGACAAAACATTCACCCGCAAAGGACGCCCGTGCAAGTGGCGCGGTACAGAAGGGAGGTTGTAGACAACCCACCTGTGTAAGAGGAGCGCGAGTGAAGAAGTGTTGCCACGCGCGGGGAACGATAACGCACAGGCAGGAGACGGTGGGATGGCCGACGTGGGAATCTCTCGAAGAAGCGAAGCGATCCTGGATGAATAATTGATTTTCCTGGGTGGAACGCAGACGATCGCGACTGAGTGATATCAATTATAATGACGCTTGGGTAACGACTGGAGAGTTGACGTTTGGCACACATTGTAAGGGTTTAGGCTAATAGAACAAATCCGAAAACCCATATTGATCGTTTTTCTTTTTAAAACCTGGACCCCTGCAAAAAAATACGAATCGGAAATGAAGTGGTTTCACCAACGGGGAAAAATCGGCCTAAAGTAATCATTACACGTTGCTCCACGCCGGGTGCGGAACACTTATAACAAAAATAAGATCGGTGAACCTAGTAATTTGCCTCCCGTGAAGCGAAGTCCGAGAGTGGATAAAGCCTAGCACCGATTACTTTGTGCCTAACAAGGCGCGCAGCCCCCACTCATTTAATAACAAACGTTGGTGCTGAATCTTATAATCTGACAGGTGTGTGCGCGCTACGAAGAAGGTCCATTGCCCGAAACGTCGCCTATTATATATTTTTTTCTTTTAAAGCCAGCGAGTGTTGCTGACGAGTGTGGCGAGTTAGTTTTTTGTTGTTAAATTGTACTTGCGCACCTCTGGGGTGCGTCCTGCAATCCGGAGAATAGGGTACACGATGAAATGTTGCGGATAATAACATAGCAGGAGAATGTTGAACCTCATCGCTCCCGTCAGGTTTAACCCCGAATTGTGACGAGTCTTGGGATCTCGAGAGTGGAGGCGGAGATTGTTGAGTGACCCCAGCGGAAACCTCACCGCTGTCCCGTACAGCCCTGGCAGACTTTAAATGGGGCAAGTGCTGTTATCGAGCATTTATTAAAAAAGACCGGCACGGAACCCGAGGGAGGTTGGTGGCCATCACCACGCACGGCCGCCTTCGTCTCCCCAGTGGCGATGATGTGAAGTCGAGTCGATCTAGGGGAGGCCCAGGGCCGGTTCAGATAATGGTCACTGGGTGTTTGGTGGTCGTGAGAGGGCTATCAGATCCTGGCCGCCGGGGTTCGTAGCGCGGCGCGCTAACCGCTACACCACCGCTCTCAAGCGAGAGCACGCATCACACAAGACACACGCACAGACACACGCGCGCATCCACCCCACCACCACCACCACCACACCCACGCGCGCGCTGGGGAGGGGTTTGTAGCCTAAGGAAGCTAAATAATAAATGAGGTAAAAAAAGTGAATTTAACGAGTGAGGGGGGAAACACACCCCCCTCCTCCTCCCAGCGGTAATAAATTGATGTCCGCACCACGCGCACGGTGGGGCTGCGTGGGAGGAATGAGGCGACTTCGAGAGGCGACATCCTCCGTGGGACGCACGGCACGGGGACACCGCGTGCGCACGAGAGCGGAGCCGTCCGCCGCATGCACGCGCGCGTGAAGAGAGAAGCTCTCTTCTCCCTCGCTCTCTCTTCTCCCTCGCTCTCTCTTCTCCCTCGCTCGCTCGCCCCCCCCCCCCTCTCGCTCGCTCTCAGTCTTCGCGAGTTCCCCGAGGGTCGGACGCGGCCGTGCGACTTGGCACTGCATGCGGCACGCGACCATCCCTCCCTGCAGCCGCCGCCGCTGCCGCCGCTGCGCGCGATGCGGATGACGGCTCTGAGCCTCGCTTGCTGCTTCCTAGCGCAGGTGGCGGCTGCGCTCGAAGCTGCGAGCTCACAAGGTGAGTTGTTTGGGACGGGGGCGGGAGCGGTAGTGTGGCGTTTAGAGCGCTGCGTTGCGAGTCCAGCGACAGCGCGGTTGTATTCCTCTGCTCACGGCCAATACCAGCGGCGATTCATAATTATTTGAACCGGTCGTGGGTCTCCGCCAGGTCGACCCAGCCTCAGTTGAGTAGCTGGTGCGACGTGTGAGCATCGCCGCTGGGGAGACGAATGCGCCCTGGTGCGTTGCTGGCCACGTTACCCCCCCCCCCCCCATTATATGCCGTTCTGGCCGTCATACGTGCTCGCTAACAGCACTTGCCCTAAAAGTGTGTTAAGGCTATACGGGGGACCTTTGTCTTTGTGGGTGGGTGGGGGGCGAGAGGTGGCGCAGAGGTTTTCAAGCTGCGTCACGATACACCCCGACGAGCCCGAGTTCGTATTCCCGTTCCTCACGGCTAACGTCAGTGGCGAGGGATATCCGAACCGGTTACGGGGGGACTTCTCCTAGGTCGACTCGGCCTTAAATTTAGTACCTGCTACGCGTACACCCCTAACCGAGGCTATCAAGGCGACTGGGCGTGGTTCTGGCCACATCACGACCCCCTCCCCGTGTACCGTTCCAGCTGTAATAATAGGTCATCGCTAACAGCACTTTCCCCAACAGCCTGTTTAGAAGCTATACGGCGGCTCTTTGTGTGTGCGTGTGTGGTTATTCGTTTATCAGCAATGCACATGCACTTTATAATCCGCACGCCCATTGGCCGGTGCGTCTACCGCATTGTGATGCGTGCGCGTTGGATGGCAGCTTATCTCTGCGCAACATTATACTTGGTGCCATTTGAGACCCGATGAAAGTCATTTTTTTTTAAAGGAGAGCCGTGTAAGAATCAAATAGAACACAGCAAAAGGTCAACTGCAACAAATGTGTAAGGAATCATGAGCAGCAGACAACTGAAGCAGCCGCATCTGCGTTTTCAGAGCATCGATTGCAAAGCATGGATGTAAATGCACGTGGTTACATATCGCCAGGCGAGAGCTCACATAATTATGATTATGTTGTCGTCAGCTGAGAGGTTATGCACATGCGTGAACGTGTATCCATGCCTCGTCCGGATCTCGCAAGGCTGAGCCTGGAGAGGCTTTAACCACACCGTATTACACATGCAGGTTTTACAACTTGAATAGACATTTACCGCTGTCGTAATTAGTGACCAATGCTTTTTTTAAAAATATATACGATTAAGGGTCATTTGTTTCCTCTGAAGAAGGCTCATCACCTGAAGCGCTCGCTTCCACACTGCACTGCGTGCTTCGGGGTTTAACAGAGGCGTTAGTGCGAACGGTGACGACGATTTTTGAGCTGCCGCTGTAATTGGAGGCTGTCATTAGATGCAAGAGGTATATGCAATGATCCACGCATTTCTCCAATGGTTTAAACTCACTTGTTGCATGGTTATTATTAAAATTATGAAAACGATATCATCATTTTAAATTTCAGCCGATGATGGTTTGCATTGTTGTTCATCTGCACGCCGATTAAATGCGTTTGTATTTTACAATGACCTTTCCGCTCGCAAAATGTGGCGTTTCGGTCATTAGTGCATTTGAATTTTAATTAAATGCTGCAATATAGTGCTTACAAAATGGCACACTTAGAAGCCATCTATGGAATAAACCTGCTGGCTGTACGTATATATACATACACACGTGTATACACACACACACACGTGTATACACACACATATATACACAGTCACACACACGTGTATACACACGCACACGTATGTACAGTCACACACACACGTGTATATATTGTCTACAGACGGAGCGAGCAATTTGACCAATCTGCTAATGTTCACCAGAATGACAAAGACAGCTGCGGTTTGACGTCCAATTTTAATTAACTTGTGATTTTCATTGTCTCCTTCCGTTAACCGGACCCAAGTTACCTCTCCGTGTGCTGTGAAGGGCCATTGCCCGAAACGTCGCCTATATATATTTTAAAAGCCACACTCAAAATGTTATGAGCGAATGTGTTGAGGTGTTGTGTCATTTGTGCTTCACTGCCATCGCAGTAGCGACAGCGTCACCAACACGATTCGCGGATATGAACAACGTTACATTACATACACAAGACAAAGATCCCCCGTATAGCCTTGGCAGACTGTAGGGGCAAGTGCTGTTAGCAAGCACCTATGAAGGCCGGCACTGCACACCAGGGGGTGGGTGGCCAGCACCACGCCCGACCGCCTTTGTCTCCCCAGTGGCGATGATTACACAGCACACCAGGTACCCATTTGGAGGTCAAGTCAACCTTGGGGATGACCCAGGACCCGTTCAGATAATCGTCACCAGTGTTGGTGGCCGTGAGCGGGAATCGAACGCCGGTGGCTGGGTTCGTAGCGCTAACCACTACACTACCGCTCCCCACGTTACGCACACACACTCAACCCGTCGTTCGCACGCGGGGACACTGCGCTCTCATTCCTTATTTAATTATATGTCCTCTCTACGTTGCTTCACTTTGACCATTTCGAAATGCAAATGTCGAGAAATGCTCATTGCGAAATGCTCGCGAAGAGCGCCACCCCGAGTTAACGCCCCATCATCACTATGCAGTCGCCTAGGCAACACAATCACCCTCGACACACACACACACCGCACGCTGCAAAGCTACTTGCTCCTATACCCATGGATTAGGCTATGATTCAGAGCGTCATTAATGTATCCTGAATTCCAAAATAGCAACCCCAACGGTGATGTCATCCTGCTGATTTTGGATCCACCGCTCTCATCTCCTCCGTCTTCATTGTTGGGAGATTCTTCGGAAGACCGTTGCTCTATTTCTCACGAAAGACAAAGAAGCCCCCCGTGTAGCCTTGACAGACTGTTGGGGCAAGTGCTGTTAGCGAGCACCTATGAAGGCCGGCACTGCACACGAGGGGGTGGGTGGCCAGCACCACGCCCGGCCGCCTTTGTCTCCTGAGCGGAAATGTTTTTACACGTCCCACCAGGTACTCATTTGAGGCTCAGTCGACCTAGGCGAGGCCCAGGACCGGTTCAGATAATCGTAACCTGCATTGGCCGTGAGCGAGAATCGAACCCGGATTGTCGGGTTCGTAACCGCTGCACTACCGCTCCTTACCATCGCCCTATACACACACTCACTCACTGCATACAGAAAGCTACTGCCCCTATACCCACTGTGGGCTATTAGTCAGAGCGTCATTAATGCATCCCAAATTCCAAATTAGCACCCCCATTGGGTGCGGTGATGTCATCCTGCTGATTTTGGATCTACCCCCCCCCCAACCCCTCCTCTGCCTTCGCATTGTTAGGAGATTCTTGAGCAGACAGCTACATTGCTCTCTCTCTCACACACACAGACACACAGAGACACGCATGGTTGGGTGAGCAATGACTTTCAGATCTTGGGCAGAGTTGAATGGGCCCCGTGCAAGGGCGATTCAAATGCCGCTGCCGGCGCCAGGCAGCAGCAACGGCAGCGGCGTGCAATGCACACACCAAAGACAAAGACCCCCCCCCCCCCCCCGTATAGCCTTGGCAGACTGTCGGGGCAAGTGCGGTTAGCGAGCAGCACACCTATGAAGGCCAAAACGGTACAAGGAGGGGGTGGGTGGCCAGCACCACGCCCGATCGCCTTTGTCTCTCCAGTGGCGATGTTTACACACTGCACCAGGTACTAATTTGAGACCGAGTCGACCTAGGGGAGGCCCGGGACCTGGTTTAGATAATCGTCACTTGGTGTTGGCCGTGAGCGGGAATCGAACCCGGGTAGCCGGGTTCGTAGCGCGTACGCGCACAATGAATAAGCAGAGCTCCGGGCAAAGCCGCGACTCTCGCTTGGTGGTGTCCGGGGATGACGGCGTCCAAATTCGCTTTCTAGGCACGTCTCCCCCACAGAGTCCGTGGGGGGTGTGCGGCGCACGCGTTCACTCGAGAGTAGCCCCGTACCCAAGTAGGGGCAATGCCGACGTTGGGCCAACGTTGGCATGGTTGGTTCGAACTGCTGGACCAACTTTGGCCCAACGTTCCCTGTTTGCTGGATGTAAATGGATAAAAATCACGAATATTTGCAGTCTCCTGTACACTTGCACAGCCCTCTGTTGTCAATCGACAGCCGGATATGAGGGCCTCGCCACGCTGTGCCCCGTCTTGGGGGGGGGGGGGGTTATTTGACCATACTTCACCACGCTCGTCAGTGCAGATTGGTGAAATGAGATTCAGCTAACCTCATCCAACCTTGACGGATGAAATTAGTACTGCAATAAAAAAGCGGTCGTTATATGGATATACAAGTCCCCACCATAGAAATGTGGAATGTATAGTTATACCCACCAGCTCGGCTTCCACAAAATGAGTACGAATTTTAACTGGCAGGGTACAACGATAACACAAAGCATGTATGTTCTGCAATAAAGATGTAATTTATATAGTAAATACACCATAAGAGGCTTAGATAATTAGATTAGCGCTGGGATGCTGTCCTAGGATTAGGTCAAACAGCACGGCGTCTTTGGTTTCCATGTTTACCGGCTCTTGCACGACCTTTTCCAAGACTTTTAACATCTTGTTACGTCGTGGGACCAATAAGGTCACCGTTTGCTAGCAGGTGTGCCGCGAGTGCGTGTAAGACGGGCACACCGGGCCACTGCAAAAGCGTCGATGAGTTAACATCTCCGGACAGCACCCACGGGTGTACACGGGGCCTCTAGCGCAGTGCACGCTGCTCGCATGCAATTGTTCATTACATCGTGTGGGCAGGGGGGGGGGGTTCAATTATTGTGGACTGGCCCACAATGATCGAGTCTGCCCCCCCCCCCCCCCCCCAAGTAGGGTCAGTTGATGTTAAGCACGCGTCTAACCATAATCCATAGACAGCGGCGTTCTTCATCGAAAGACCCCAATGGTTTCAAATTGGCGAAGCTCGCCGCTTTACAGTACAGCGCCCAGATGCGTTTTTGGGGCTGCACTGCGCGCGGTTCGGCATGATGTC